ATGGTTCATAATTTAGCAGTAGGTCAGACATGTATTTTGGGCCTAAACCATTCAAAGCTTTATAAACCAGCAACAATATTTTGAAATCTATTCTTTGACACACAGGAAGCCAGTGTAAAGACTTCAGAACAGGAGTGATGTGATCCACTTTCTTAGTGTTAGTGAGGACTCGAGCAGCGGCGTTCTGAATTAGCTGCAGCTTTCTAATAGATTTTTTAGTGAGGCCTGTAAAGACACCATTGCAGTAGTCGAGTCTACTGAAGATAAAAGCATGGACAAGTTTTTCCAAATCCTGCTGTGACATTAGTCCTTTAATCCTAGATATGTTCTTTAGGTGATAGTAGGCTGATTTAGTAACTGTTTTAATGTGACTGTTGAAACTCAGGTCAGAGTCCATGACTACACCTAGATTTCTGGCTTTATCTGTTGTTTTGAACATTGCAGACTGAAGCTCAGCGCTAACTTTTATACGTTCTGCCTTGGCTCCAAAAACCATTACCTCAGTTTTATCTTTGTTTAATTGGAGAAAGTTCTGACACATCCAGTCATTGATTTGTTCAATGCACTTACTCAGTGTTTGAATTGGAGCATAATCTCCTGGTGAAATTGTTACGTAAATTTGTGTGTCATCCGCATAGCTATGGTAACTTATTTTGTTCTTTTTCATTATCTGAGCCAGTGGTAGCATGTAGATGTTAAAGAGAAGAGGCCCCAAGATGGAGCCTTGAGGTACCCCACATGTCATATTTGTCAACTCAGATGTGTATTTACCTATAGAAATAAAGTTTTTTCTGTCCTTTAAGTAGGACTCAAACCAATTTAGAACTGTTGCCGAAAGTCCCACCCAGTTTTCTAGTCGGTCTAGTAATATGTTGTGGTCAACAGTGTCAAATGCAGCACTGAGATCTAATAATACTAACACTGAAGTTCTGCCACTGTCTGTGTTTAAGTGGATGTCATTGAAGACCTTTACAAGAGCAGTCTCAGTGCTGTGGTTTGGACGAAATCCTGACTGGAACACATCCAAACAGTTATTTAAATGCAAGAAGTTACTCAACTGTTGAAATACTACTTTTTCAATGATTTTACCTAGAAATGGCAGGTTTGATATTGGCCTGTAATTGTTCATTACTGAGGCATCTAGATTATTCTTTTTTAAGAGCGGTTTAATGACTGCAGTTTTCAGGGCCTCTGGAAAAATACCTGAGTGAAGAGATGTGTTTACTATATGAAGTAGATCTGAGGCCATGCAAGGAAAAACATCTTTGAAAAATCCTGTTGGAATAATATCAAGGCAGCAGGAGGAGGATTTCAGAAGTTGAATAATGTCCTCTAAGTTTTTACCATTAATCTGATGGAATTGTGTCATGGTGTTTGAATTGATATTAGGTGGACATAGGGACAAAACATTTGCTGTACCTGATGTAGAGGCACTGACTGCTTGTCTAATTTTCTGAATTTTGTCAGTGAAGAAGGAGGCAAAATCATTGCACGCCCTGGTGGATAGAAATTCAGAGGCTACTGACACTGGGGGGTTAGTTAGTCTGTCGACGGTAGCAAACAAGGCACGTGCGTTGTTTTTGTTTTTGGTAATGATGTCAGAGAAGAAAGACTGTCATGCCTTTTTCAATTCCAAATTATAAAGGCCAAGTCTCTCTTTATAGATTTCAAAGTGAACCTGGAGATTTGTTTTTCGCCACCTACGTTCAGCTTTTCGACACTCTCTTTTTTCTGTTCTCACGGTCATGGCCTTTCTCCATGGAGATATTTTCTTGCTAATCACTTCCTTTACCTTAGTTGGAGCAATGGTATCTATAACATTTTTAATTTTTGAATTAAAATGATCTACTAGCTCATTTACTGAGATGTTAGCAGGGGCAAGTGTGGATGAGAAATTATGAGTAAACATTTCCCTAGTATTTTCAGTTAAATATCGCTTAAAAGGGATTATGACTTTCGGTCCATAACGGTAGCCTGCCTATATCCACTTCTCATATATTTAAACAGATGAAATGCATATAACATGACTATTTACATGCACACTAATATTCCACTAACATTTCAGATTTGATATCATGGGTCATATTGCATATTCAGAAATAGGCCTTATTCCGAACGTAACATTTTCCGACTAAGATATGTGATAACAATGTTGTTCTTGTTTAAGGAGCCTTATTTAGAACATTTCAACATGTAAACAGTGCATTCTGAATAATTGACCGAATGGGGTTTTCACTCCAGTTGACACACAGCCATTTGCCTGTTTACGGCCAACGTTTGCATGCCTGGGTGGAGCACAAAAAAGTAACATTTTGTTCGTAAAAATGTTTAATCAAAATGTGTTATTCTTGTGTTATTCTTCTGTCCCACAGCCTGACTTACTAGTCAACAAATCATTGTTACTCCCTTAGTTGTGTTGTTACTGCTGTAAAATATTGACTTGACTATTTTCATTATTTATCATCACCTCCCATTATTGATTTTTGATCATATACTGTAAACGATAAACACTTTACTGCCACATATTAGTCGCTTATAGTGCAAAGCCTTGTACATAAATCTAAGGATACATGCACAATGTTAAAATGGCATGTAGAAAACCAACATAATATATATGTGCTTGTGAAATAAGAAAGCAACAGAGTGAATTGTGATTTACACCACAAAAGAGCCAATTCTTAAAAGCCAAAGAATGCATTATTTAAGCCACTTAGATTTGTGTGCGCTGGGATTTTGTGTCAAGCTTGTTGTTGAATGTGTCATTTAAAAGGCTCAGAAGCAGCGGGGCAATAGCCTATGTAATACTTTGAGGTGCGGGGGATTATTGATGTATTTTATCCCAGACTGCTGGTTCAGACATAATCACAGTTTTTAAAGCACCCACCCGAGTTGTATGGCTTTTATGCAAGGGGAAGAACAACTTTATTTTTGTCGTAGTATATTAAAAAAGCATAGAATGCATTTGCATGGGAGTTTGAGAGTGTATTAAAACCAGTCAAAAATGCTTATTATTCAATGCATGTTGAAACGGGTCTCAATTTCATTCTCTTTTCAAAACGGTTTTAATGCCTGCCTTTCTCCCTATGATATCAATACATTTCCATATTTAAACCATAGAAGCAATAACAATGTGTTCCCTTGTAGGGACATTATCCCCTCTTGCCTTGAACAGGAGCATGAATAGAACAAGACTCATGGAGCTTATATGGATTTAATGACGTGCTTATGTAACATGGCGCTCCCACTTCCTGCTCCCTATACAACCCTCCCGACAATAAGGAAAGAACAGCCTATACTAGCGATGGTTTACGGCCAAAGTAAATCCTGGCCATTAAACAGTACATCCAGATTACATAAGAGACCTTTGCAGATCTCTCAAAGGGTACGTCATCTTCTGCCTGACACAGCCTTTCTGCAGGCTTGAAGGAAAGTTCAGACGCCTTACTAACGTATGTATATATATATATATATATATATATACAGTATATGGTCAAGAACAAAGATGAGTTCCATGTCTGGTTACATTAGATTGCCTACACAACATTTATTTAATCTGCTTCCATGGTGATTTTGACCCATAATGCCTTAGTTACACGTTAGATCCTCAAATAAAGCGTTGCATAGACAGCTCTTGATTTTAACCAAACATTATTTTAAGGTTGTATAAATGTATCAGATTAAAAGTATTTTTTAATTAATCATGTGAATTTAAAAAAACAGTATATAACATAAACATCTATATTTAACATTTCCATGAAACATGTTTTGAAGACTGTTTCATAAATAAGAAAAAGAAAAGACACAATACAAATATTTGTCCTCATCAAAGTCAGCATACCTTACATACAGTAAGTATAGTTTGTTCGTCATGCGACCAATGCATCACAAAGAGCATACTATAATAAAACCTGAGTGAAAAATAGCTGTGAAGGAAAGATAGCCTTCTACTGTGTTTCTTCTTCTCTCAGTGGATGTATGCAGGTTTGTGGGTGGTCTAGGCTGTTTTGTACAATTGCACACACTGCTAGAGGAACATTGTATACTCTATATGCATCCCTATACCCACCACACACACAAACTGCTGTCAGGCATGTTTTAATAACAAGACTAGACTGCCTTCAGTTTCTATCTTTTTCACATACTGTGTTACCTCATATGTGGTGTCTGTAAAATATGGAAAGTGGCTTTTCAGTGGAATAATGCTTGTTGGATAATTAACTGGCTGAATGGCGACCCATGTCTGTGTCAGTGGGAAATTGGCAGTGTGACTTGTAGCTGATGGACGTCTGATTGGCTGTCTTGTTTCTCACTAACAGGCTGCTTTTCCGTCTGGTTAACTGACCCACTGATTCAGTATAAAAAAACCTCTTTATAATATATATTTTTTTACTGTTTTAAGTACAGTCTTTCTTCCATGCCATTACTGCTTTCAGGTCATCTACTTTCTTCTGCTCTCTCTGGATTTGCACTCCCCTGCTCTACTCCTCCACTACATCTCTCCTCTCCACTCCATCACTTTACTCTCCAAGTCCTTGAACGCTGCCTCTAATGGCTTCACCTCACATGTGATCTCTTTCTCTGCCTCTCTTGGGGTTGCACAGCCTTTTGCCTAAGGCTTAACAGTGCACTCATGCAAAGCATCCTCTGCAGTAGCGCAGAATGTACACAAATAAAATCAGAGACAAACACAGGAAGCATCAAAGGAGACATACTGGCCTCATACTGTGATATATTATGCACTGCTATTCAGGACAGATGGACTCAGCGTCCATAAAGCATGTTTATGAATTAAATATGGATGTAGCACTTTACAGTGGCAATATGGCTTTACATGTTTTAATGATAAACATTATGTGTGAAGTCTCTCTCACATTCCCTGCTCTGCTTCACAAACTTCCAAGGAAGGGAGTCACAGGGGATGATGAAGTGTTGACACACATCAGAATCTCCAATCTGTCTGTGTTGTGGTGTGGCTGACTGTGTGTGTTTGTACTTCACAGGGGAAGTCATACGTGTTTGACCAGGTGTTTCCTACGAACACCACCCAGATACAGGTCTACAACACATGCGCCAAGCAGATTGTCAAAGGTGAGTTAAGTAAACTGTGTGCCTTTTCTTTTCATCCGAGACGTGTGAGTGACATAAAAGCTGAGGGAGAGAGTCAATACTCTTTCAATCTCAATATCCTTCGGTTCACCTTTACGGCTTTGTCAGTTTTCTATACACTGACTGAATGCATTCGAAGCTACTTAAAAGCAGAGAGAAAACCAATTTCCATAACATGATGCGACCACACGACTTTCAGGTGTGAGCATCAACATGCACACATTAACAAGATGCATACTAATCAAAGCAAAGCGGGACTGGTGTATCCGAAGGCCCCTAGATCAAACGAAGCCAGAGGAGAATCGAATCTTCTTTCCTTCGCCCCTCCCTCTGTCTGCCTCTCCCCCCTGTTAAGGTCTCATTTTTAGGCCAACATCAAAGAGAGTGTGAAACTTCACTAGCCCTTCTGTAGATGGAGCATGGAGCAAAGAGATTGATTTGCTAGGAAAGATTACTTAGACCGAGGAAGGACGGTATAACACGGTGGGATGAATCGCAGGGCAGGGTTGGAAAAATCCAAGGTGAGGGATTTGGCAAAATAAAGCAATGAGATCTGAAGTAAGATTTGAAATCTGTCGGGGGATAAGGGTTAAACAGCGAGGCCAGAGACATTTTTATATTGACTTTTTTTGTCCTTTTTGGTCTTTCTTGTCAGTTTCTCTACATTTTGCTGCATCTTTTTAATGCTTTTTCATCTTTCTCTTACATTTATGCACTCTTTCACCTCCCTCTCTTCTTTTTCTGTGTTTCTCTTTGTGGTGGTCTCTGCTGTTAAGCGATCTCATCTCCGTCTGTCTTTATTTCCAGACAGATTCTTTATTCTTTGTTCTATTGTGTGTCATGCAGTTTTTCGGTCCCACCATGACCAGTGCGTAGGAAGACACGTTGCTCAGCTGCGAGCTGCACGAGTAAAGGAATCACAGGAGAGGAGGAGAAAGAGAGGGGAGCCTCATTGTTTCAAATCAGAGCCTAAGAGATTTGTGGTCAGCTTACCTGAGGCACCTGGCCTTTTGGGGCGACATTTTCTTTCTTTATCACTGTTTGACCTTTACCACAAGGGTTTATTAGCTCAAATGTTGAGGTGTTGTTTCACTTTGGCTTCCATCATGGAGGGAGAATAACATCTTGGTTGGTACTATACTAGGTGCCTCGTGGAGAATTAAACGTTGCAGGTATGATGTTGTTGTTTATTGAGGTCGTTCAGCAACAAACCGAACCTAAATGCTGCGTACACCTCTCAGTGCACACAGTCTTTATGTGGCTCAGTCTGACCTGTCTTTGGGGGCCAAACATATTTGTCTAGGTGCTTATCTAATCCAACTGTCTTATGCTTTACATACCTGGCTCTCTAAAATGTGTAATTTTGTTAGATTTATTTTTGTTTGGCACTCTTACTACCAATAATCTTTTCCACTGTAGGCATGGTATGATGTGAAAATGTTACGTCACGATTTTCCTTGACAAAATAACTTTGACTTGCATGAAATGATCCTGATAATCAGAAGTTTAAAACTCTTAAAATGGCAATAATATATCATAACATTGCTTTACCTTACATTTTGTAAGGAAACAGGCAATTATATTTGTCTGTATAACAGACACACATCATTATTTTCGAGCAGTCTTTAATGAGGTTATCACACTGTACATAATGAGGTCTCTGCATTGGCAAAGGTTACATAAATAAAACATAGCAACATTGTGTGAGTTTCTTAATCAGGCTCTATTTTTCACTTCTTTACCATAATATCGAGCTAGACAGCTTTTTTAAAGTTACTCATGTGAGGATGTTCAAGATTATCCCAATTATGTAAATTCATCACAACTACTTTGCACCATCCCTTATTTCTAAAATGTTGTTCTTCTTTTTTTAACATGTTTTTGTGTGTGATCTTTTCTCACTATAGATGTTTTGGGTGGATACAATGGGACTATATTTGCCTATGGGCAGACGTCCTCTGGAAAAACACACACCATGGAGGTACAGTATCACTAAATTATTCAAAAGGCATACACACATTTGCATTTTATATTCTCCCATGCTCTCCTCTGACAGTACATCTCCCTCCATAACTGTCACAGCTCACTATCTCTCTTTCCCAGCCTTTGGTGGGAACTAACCTCCTTTACAACTCCCTCTGGGCAATAACCCTGTTCTTTTTAAAGTCAAAGCGTCTCTGCTCTTCTTTATTTTACTTTTCTCTTCACTGTATTCATCCCAGTGTCTGCATTTATCCTTCTTTTTACTCACATATACTTTTATCGTCTCTTTCTTCTCGTAGGGGAACCTTCATGATCCCCAGGGAATGGGAATCATCCCCCGGATCGCAGAGGACATTTTTGAACATATATTTGCTATGGATGAGAACCTAGAATTTCACATAAAGGTTGGTGTGAATTTCCAGGTGTGTGCACGTTTTTGTTCATGCGTAGTTTTGCACACTTGTCTCCCAGGGATGAACTATTTTACTCTGTGATACCTTCCTAGGGAATACAGCCTGTGCCTCTGAGGTAATCCTCACATGGATTGGCTGAGTGGAAACCGCCACGCATCAATAAATCATGACGTATAAACCTTGACAACTACATGTGTTGTGCTGTTTCCCCTTTATGCAACAGTCTGAGGATAATACAGCTGAACCCACTGGAACACAGATTACTGCAACATCATTTTGAATATTTTCACAATGTTCCTCCCTCACTTCCTTTCTCTGAGAATCACTTTTTTCTGTTCCTCCTCTTTATTCCATAGATTACCTGCTTAATGTTTTTGCTTTGTTTTAGGTCTCCTATTTCGAGATCTATATGGATAAGATACGAGACCTGCTGGATGGTGTGTTCATGCATCAAACACTTCCTAGTGAAAACACATCACACATTTGTTAACACTGTACAGTTCCCTTGCGATACACAGTGGGAAATGTAAACATGTAAGCCACACCTAGGTGCATAATAATAATATTTTCATTAAGGGTGTAATGTCTTTGGGGGAGTGGGGGACATTTCACTTTTGAAATCATGTTTTTCCACTTTCTATCTTGCTGCCAAAATCCTAATGAGAAAAGAGAGGAGAGAAAAAACCGCCATGCTGCCAGTGTTTGACTGTAGAGGTTACATCCTGTCTGACCTGCCTTATTAATGGAGGGAGTGTGGGCCCTCAGCCTGAGAGGAACACTTTAGACAAAACTCAGGCCTGATAATAGTGCCTAAAACTTATCTGCATGCATAGCGACACAAACCAAGGACATTTGTTCACAGATACTGCAACATTGTCCAAAAAATAAGCTATCATTGATCATTAATCACAAGAAAGGGAGCTAAGCTTGGAGCGTTCGACAACAACAAAAAATAGGTTAACTGCAGTAACACATAACATACTGAGTCTATATCATTATGAATGTATTGTGTTATGGGTGTGTGTTTAAAGAAAACAGTAGTTTGACATTTTATGAAATATAGTTATTCAATTTATTTTGGAAAGTAAAATGATTTTTGATGCCGCTGTCATATATTATTTTAAATATAACCAGGCAGGCAGCAGGTGATTAGCTTGCTTTTTTAATAAATAAAAAATAAGCTCTCATTGACCATTAATCAGAACAAAGGGAGCTAAGCTTGGAGCGTTCGACTCAAAAAAAGCAAATAGGTTACAGTAACACATAACAAACTGAGTCTATATCATTGTGAATTTATTATGGAAAGCACATTTTCTTTAATGTATCCCTGCTTTTTCTTATGCTTCTTTGCTTCAAATAATAGAAACAGGGTGGGGGGGTTTAGTTATTACACACGAAAGCAGCACAAGATTGAAGTTCATAGTCCTATCACGAGGTGTAACCAGTGTGAAATGATGGAGAGGCCTGGACAGGGAGCTGTAGGCAGCATCCTTGTGATTAGATCTTTAATCGAGCCAGAGACAGTGGCAAAAGCCGCCATTTGTATGCGGGGAAGCTCACAGTAGCTGAGGAACATGTACAGCTATGAACATCAAAACAGAAGAAAACAAGTGAGATGAAGCGAGGCAGCACAGAGAACAACACCCTGTGGAGGTTTTCCGAAGAGGAAAAAGTGGCTGTAGTGCGATAAAACACAATGACACGGACACTCACAAGCACACAGTCTCCAGGGGAAAAACGGTCTCCAAAATCAAGGGAAAGTTAAAAAATCAACTACATTATATGACTTTTAAATGTAAGATGATTCATGCAGACACTCAGGCAATAAATAGTATTATTTTCATTTTGTTAGCTGACATTAGCAGAGTCATCTTCTTAACCTCTCAACGACTTTGGCAGAAAAGTTCAGTTCCATAAATATCGTTCATAGATGGAGTGACATGTTTTTTCCCCGCAGCATTAGCACAGTCTGACTCACTAAGGGAACATAGTCAGGTCGAATTAAAACACATTCACATGCAGATGCTTATTTGCTCTCACACGTACACACGCAGATAATGCTTTGGGTAACACAATGACCTCTTTTTCTTAAATCCTAGTGACCAAAACCAACTTGTCGGTGCATGAAGACAAACACAGAGTTCCTTACGTGAAGGTGAGTCATCAGCCGTTTGACATGATTCAGTTTGAGTTTTCTCCTTTTACTGTGTATTAGTAACTGAGTTTGTGTTATGGGTGTATGTTTAAAGGAAACAGTAGTTTGACACTTTCGGAAATACAGTTATTCACCTTCTGTTGGAAAGTCAAATGATTTTTGATACTGCTTTCATATATTCTTGTTAAATATAACCAAGAAGGCAGCGGCCGATTAGCTTGCTTTAGCTTAAGGGTTTTGTCAAGATTATCCAACCAGCACTTTTAAAGATAATTTAACATATTATATCTTGGATTTGTTTAATCTATGCAAACTCATGTTGAAATTAGGTAATGACTTGAGACAATTCTTGGTCTAGTAACTCCCTTTCACTAGTTTCCATGGTTGCATCTGTTTAATTCCATAATTCCACATTTTTGATTTTGTGTGTATAAAACAAACAAATATAATATGCTGGTAGGTTGGATTTGTTAAAAATTACCTCAGTCTCCATAAAGCAAATGTGCGCATTTCCCCAAATGACAAAACAGTGCTATACATTTCAAGGTTATAGATTTGAAGTAAAGTTAATGTCAAACCATTTTCATGTTCGAGAAATGTTGGATTTCATTAGCAGATGCAGTATTTCTGTTGGTACATGTGCTGTATGAGTGGATGGTTATTTTTATGGCACATATAAATGTTTGCACGTCTTCTTTTCACTAAGGGCTGCACGGAGCGCTTTGTGACGAGTCCCGAGGAAGTGATGGATGTGATAGATGAAGGGAAGGCTAGCCGTCACGTTGCTGTCACCAGTGAGTCACGCTGTTGATCTTCTTTATGTCCTGACACTCACTCTGTCAGACGTTTTGTGTGAGATTTATTTTTCACAGTGAAAGTATGAAAACCTCAAGGTGCAAAGGTGAGAAAAGCATGATGAGGTGCAAAAGGAACATCTACGTAGCTTAACAACTCTGTCGATGGGAAGTGATGAATTGAATGACGTTCAATATAAAGAGTTTGATTTAAAGCCTCTCCTTCCTTTTGACTCTTTAGACATGAATGAGCACAGTTCCCGCAGCCACAGCATCTTCCTGATAAACATCAAACAAGAAAACGTGGAGACAGAGCAGAAGCTGTGTGGGAAGCTGTACCTGGTCGACCTCGCTGGGAGTGAGAAGGTAGGACAAATCGGGATTCTTTTCTGAAACATTAAAAGTAGGGCTTATCACGGCAAAAATGTCTCAACATTCACCGTCAGCAGGATTTTTGCAGCACTGGGACCAGATGCCTTTTCTCACAAAACTTGTTTTTCAGACATCAAAGAGTCAGATAAACAATGCAGTAAAGCTCTGAACTTTAAAGCATTTTAAAGCACTCACTTTATAGCACTGCACTTTGTTTTTATTGAAGTCTACACTAAAAAGAATCTGCCTGAGAGGGTTTAGTCCGTCGCTGATGCAATATCAGGGTTAGTGTGTGTTCATTTTAAGCAATGCAATCAGTTTCGCTGATGGAGACAAAAACCTTTTTCTTCTTTGAAATGATAAACTCTGCTTTTATTGGTTCAGAAAAGCTTTAAAGGAGGTTTTTCGGCCGAGACAGAAGTCAAATTTAGAGGAGCGACCAACAACTAAGTGTCTGCTTGTTCCAAGGCCTTTTAGATGAAATCACTGCACCATCCATAAATCCATTTATCTCCATGACATTCTCTTAAAAACGGACTAAAACCATTTAAAGACAGGGCAGAACATGACCCTTGACACCTAGCTGTAGTCTACTGTTGATACATGTAGTTTTAATTGATGCAAGAACTGGGTGCACTTCTGGATCTGGATAGATGCTGACGGCAGCTGTTTGGAGTTAATAAGTGCTGATGCTGCATCTGTAAGTTGTTTTGGTCGTCCCTGGAGGTGAAGGAGGAAATGGTTGAGCTCCAATAACTTCTAAGACTCAAACAAAATATTATTGACTGAACAGGAAGCTGGTGCATGCTTCACAGAAGGCTAACATAGCATATACTTTGCTCTCTTCTATAATTAAGCTCCTCAGTATCTCGCCATAAATAATTGTATCCCATGACGATTATAACACGGCGTGACTTTCCTATTTCAGTATTTTTGGCATAAACCTTCTAAAAGCTTCTCATGCTATTTTAACAATTTACAATACAATGGGTGAATGCTTCCTTTTACAGGTCTTTCATTTCCATCCTTCTGTTTTCCCCAAAAAGAAAAATGTAATTTAAATGACTTAATATCGGGAACATGGATAAAGGTTTTGAGACAGTTGTTCAAGTTTACTTGGGTGTGTATGCTTGCGTAACATTTCACATTTGTGCATGCTCAGCTGAACTGCTGTGCATTGATTAAAGGCATCCTTTGGTTCAGCTGGCAATTCATCATAATTGATTAACTGGTGGTTTAGCTGATCACTGTCTGCTTTTCCCTGTAATTTGTACTTAATTGCATTTCCCCTTAAACAAGTACCAGATTTTCCCTGCAATAACTTCTAATGACAAAGTTATTTCCTGGAAACTTGCGGAGTCTGTTTTTTATTCCAGGAAATTAAAAGTGACTGCAAGACTTTGGAAATAAAACATTACATACAAATAAACGTGGTTTTCCCATTGACATTTGTATGCTGATTAAGTACTTACTTACCTAACTCCTCCTGTGTGTGTGTATCTGTGTCAGGTCAGTAAGACAGGTGCAGAGGGAGCAGTGCTCGATGAGGCCAAGAACATCAACAGGTCTCTGTCGGCGCTGGGGAACGTCATCTCAGCCTTGGCCGAGGGAACGGTACAGTGGAGACACTTTTTATATTATTATCTTTTCTATCAGGCTGCTAAAGAATTGTAGCTGCTGACTTCTATTAATTGTTTGTGTTTCGCATATCCCTTAACATCATTTTTCTTAAATTGAGTCTTACCTTAAGGAATTAGATTGGAACAACATAAATGTGTTCAAGGTCGATCCCAGCCAAATGACACACAGTAAATTAGACAAGTGTCCCTAGGAGAGTAAATGATACCGCTTTCAGAATTTCTTCTCATGCGACCGTCAGCAGAAAGCGAATGTCCCAAAATATCAAACTGTTCCTTTTATCGTATTATATTTGTCATAACAACAATCTTTTTGTATAATGTTAACACCATCTTTGTCATGTGAAGATGTAGAAAACAAGAAATAAAAAAAACATTGATTCAAATAAATGTGTAATAGTGGTTCTGCAGAATCTTATAATAATAACACTCTTGTCTTCCATTATCAATAACACTGCTACTGCTTGTAACTTATTTCCACATTTCACCTTACTCAACTCGAAAATTCACACACTCTTTCCTGCCAACTCTACAGTCCATCATAGTAATAAAAAATATTCCCCGGCTATTATTATATAACTCAGGACGCTCAGGTATCCCTATAATCCTGATGGATTGGTTTATAGACTGTAAACACCTCAAAAACACTTCATAAATCTAATAGTATTCATTCTTTATTCATGGGGAGGACAGAAATGTCTTTTTGAAAGCAATACAAAGGAAGGGAACACTGTGAATGAATCAGAAAATTGAGAGAAATCTTTTCTTTCTTTGTTCTCCACTGATGCTCACCACACTTGTTTTTTGTTTTTGAGAAGAAAACACCTGCAAGATGTAACAGCATTTCAGGATGTCCTCCAGAGGCTTTTAATCCTCTTCTACCTGTCTGTTCTTTCTTCCCCTCGTTGTGTCTTTGTAGAAATCTCACGTGCCGTACCGTGACAGCAAAATGACTCGCATCTTACAGGACTCACTGGGCGGGAACTGTCGCACCACCATGTTCATCTGTTGCTCTCCGTCCAGCTACAATGATGTGGAGACCAAATCCACCCTGATGTTTGGCCAACGGTAACAAGCTTTCTGCTATGTAGCGCTGTGCTGCTGCACTGTGCATCTCTGTCTCGCTCAGCTGCAGCTGTTGGGATGTTTTTCAGATGAAATGTGTTCAACTCTGATATGCTATTCACAGACTTCTGCCTCCAACTTTGTTTTTGATGAACTGCGCCCTGCTCTGGAGACAGACTGTATGTGTGGTTTCTGATCGTGCTGGGAATGCTTAAATATATTTATTTAGTAAACTTAAGGGCAAGATGCTTTCACAGAAGCAGAGATTTGTTTTGCTTGTCAGCGCTCCGCTCCTATTGCTCACAATCAACAAACAAAAAAATCAGATAGAAAGATTGTGAAAAAAGCATCCTTATCCATGTGTGTTGGTTGAAATGAATAATGTATGACGGAGCAGAGGGAGTGACATATATTTGAATTGTACTGAACAGAAGAGTTGGTCTCATATCTCCCTCTGCCAGCCACGGTAGCTTTTAACACCGCGATTAATCTCTTTCTCAAAATCAATATGACACCAAAAATATGATGACATGATATTCAATATATTGAATGTCATGAAATATGACAAATATTTGTCAAACTTTCCCGTTATCAACGTAGCGAGTGTATTATTTGAGATAAAGGTCCACAAATATACAGGTTTGTGTAGCCATCAACATTGACTTTATGATCACCTGATGATTGATTATCAGCATTGCACTACCCAAATAAATTGTTAACTCAATTCTGATGCAATGACACAACTTGAGATAAGGCTGTTTGTTGTGCTAATGGCAGTGAATAAATGAATGGAGGACCACAATGTCTTTTCACTGAAGTGTGAAATGAAGAGTGCTGTGGCTGTAGCATCATGAATGTTTAACTCTGTGATGCCATCTTCATGCGTCATGATTGAGAAATAATTGATGGTCACATACTGTACTCTCTCCTCTTATGAAATGTATGTTGCTATATTTTGATGTGTTTTAAGAGGTCTGAAGGGCTTTTACAGTTTGGATTCCTGCCTCCCTCTCCTTACATGCACCATCAAACACTGTTGGCTGAAACCCAATTTGCATACCAATTAATGAGATGCGATCCCATTTTCATTTTGCAGCCAGGGCTGAAATTCGCTTGTTGACAGTTTCTCTGTTCTCTCACACTTTCCTTTCTCCCTTTTTCTATATGTGGTGCTCACACCCTGTTCCTCTCACGCCTTCCTTCACTCTCTGCTGGTGTTTCTCCCTGCATCCCTCCAATTAGAGCCAAGACCATCAGAAATACTGTATCTGTGAACCTTGAGCTCACAGCAGAGCAGTGGAAGAAGAAGTATGAAAAGGAAAAGGAGAAGAACAGGTTATTGAAGGAGACTGTTCAGAGACTGGAGACTGAGCTCAACTGCTGGAAGAATGGTAATACTGGCACTGAAATCACGCTTGCAGCTCACTAACACATGAAATATCTTCTGCCACCAAAGAACTGTGAAATGTGTTGCCCAGACATGTTGGCCATTAACAGCGCATTCATTTCTTACTGTCATATTAATAACACGTTTATATTTTTAGACACAAAAGCAGGGTAGCGGTTGGTCAGCCTATCAGGGTTGAAATAACACAACCACTATTTAATGGATTACCATAAAAGTTGTTACACATAGGATGTTTGAAATAACTTATTTCACTCACGAGAGGTTATGGTTAAGAGCTTTTTTATAACAAATTCAATGTGATAATAAAGCCTTGACAGAAAGGCTTCGACTCTACGGGTGGATTTGTAATCTAGGGGTGTCTGGCCATAGTGGCAGCAAGATAAATCCACCCCAAGGAGTCTGATCCCTGGGGAGGTGGTTGCTGATGATCCTGCTGAGAGTGGTAGGCTGATAACATGATACAACTGATTGCTGTATGGGGATGGGGAGGTGAAGGGGCTCTGGTAACAGCAGCATGAACATACTAAAGGTGCCTAGGAATCTTGATTTAAAAAGAGACAGCCGCAAACAGAGAGGCTAACGGCTGATATCCAGTTTGGAGAACCAAACATTGGCAGCAGGAATTTACGAGTTAGCATGCGTGAGAGGAATGAATGTCAGGATATCGGTGAAATAAAATACTGGGACCCGGGCCTTAATTTAAACGAGCACCATCTGCAGATTTTTTCATTTTGTCCAAATTAGATTAAATGAGATTGGATTCAACTTTATTGTCATTACACATAGCACAACGAAATCAAGTTTGCATCCAATCAAAAAGAGCATTGAGTAGATAAGGTGCAGATGAGGATACAGTTTAAACACATATGTGAACTAAAGTGAATTGTGGCTAAAGGTTGTGGCATATGTAATACATGGTTGTTTACATTTAAAATACTTACAAAAAAGATAGAAAAAGTAAAACCTCATGTTGCTGATAGTGTGACTTAGTCTTGTTAAATTACTTGTATGAATGTCAAAAAATAAATGAAATAAGGGACCTGCATAAACCAGCACCCTTATTATTTTTCTTTTAAATGTTTGTTAACAACGATAAGCTTGGTCACCTTTAAACAAAATCCCTACACCAGATGCAGTTCACAATAGTAAAGGCACTTACTACTGTAGCAGGAATGGAAATGTAACCAGCCTGCAGACATTCTTTTTCAGACAACATAAGTGCAAATTTAAGATGCCAGTGTTGATATTGGAGGAGAGCAGCCAAAATGACTAGCTGGGCTTCTGCCCAAAACACTTAAAAATCCCTTTCTGGCTTTTATTTTTAGAATTTTACACTTTGTATAATTGAATTCCCCTCTCACTGTGCTGAAGGCACGACATGCTGGAGGCTTTATGTTTTATGAATCCTCATGTATTAGTAATCCACGAGGCGACAAGGGTTAATCGCATTTACAGAAAAGTGTTAACTTGCTCTTCTTTTCTGTGTCGGCACACACACACTGTGTCAGGACACACTTCGATGAAGCACTGATCCATCCCTCTACACACACACTCCTCGGCCTCCTCCTCTTCTGGGCTGTAGGTCAATTCAAATGTCACTGCACTGAAGGGTCGTGATCGGTTGACATTCAACTCTGTAATAAATACTGTCCGACGTATTACTTATAGATCATCCTCTCCATGCTTGACCTGAGTTTTTTTAATGCTGTACAGTAACACATTTTTATTGAACAGCTATCATTGAAAATGATTCCTTTTATAGCTACATCTTCATCAGTTACTTTCCCTCACACACACTCTCCCTCTCTCTCACGATTTATTACTTTTAATTTCCTAATGGATCATTTTGGCATTATGTTTTCCCCAACACTGCTCCCTTTATTGTTGCCCACCTCAGGCCAGGACCTCCCTGAGTAGAACGTGTTTGACCTCCAACATGTCCCACATTACCTGTTTTTAGTCAAGGATGGCCCAAAGGCAGGAACAACTGTCTCATACATTAATTCTCCTCGATCTTCTCCCTCCACAGAGGAGATCTAGTGTGCAACCATTTCAGGGTTGTGTTGCATTGAACCAGGCTGATATTTTTGTATCTGTTAACACACCTTCAACTAGACAAGAAGAGATAGGTATTGTTTTAACTATGGATTCATTTGACCTAACCACTCAATTTCCCAATTGATCCTCTTAACTCCAGCTACAATATATCGGTCAAAGCAGTGTTGTTAAATCCTGGAGGCACAGAGAAGTGGTGGAAGTAAGATTCTGAAATGGTTAAGCATAAACCTCCTGATGCTGCCTGGGGAGGAGAATTACAATCACAACACATTACAGTCCAGAGTGTCTGTCAGTCCAAGCTATTACTCCTGTGTGTTATGAAACGCATTAAGGGCTTGTACACAATTGAAATACAGATTTCTGCATTCAATGGTTCCCCTCGTGTTCTTCATAGGATACTGTCGTTGTCTTAGCCAAAGCACGAAACAACTGACATACTGTTATAAAGCTCTGGTGTTTTTGACTGCACGTTGAGTCTGTAGAAAAGAACAGCTACTTTATGGAACAGAAATATAAATAACCTGAGATTTTAAAGTATTCAGGACTAAGGAAAGACCATGCTAATGATATCCCTTCTCATCCATTTAATGCATTAATACATGGTCGTGCCAGAGAAACACATTTACAAAAAAATCCAATATTTCGTCTCTTGTTCTTAGGTGAGGCTGTCGAGTTAGAGCAACTGAGCCCTGAAGACATCCCCCTGGTTCCTCCTGAATCTGAGGAGCCCGTTCCAGACATATGCACCCCCTGCAGTCCCTGCACCCCCTGCAGCCCCTGCTCTGTTGCCTCTTCCATTGTGGTTCACATCTCTGAGGAGGAGCGGCAGAAATATGAGGCGGAGATCCGCAAGCTTTACAAACAGATGGATGATAAGGTGATAAATTAATGTAACATCGGGACCATTTGTGTGCATGAATTATAGACTGTGTTCAGAGCCTGAATGCAGAGCTGTTTAAACTCGATGGATGAGATATTTGTAATGGTATACACACATGCACACAAAGAGGATATCATACATGTATTATTCATTTGAATGAATTCAGGATCAGACGCATAGTAGTGACTAATGTAGCAACGCATAGGAATATGTCATTGGGGAAAAAGCAATGTTCTACATTGAATGGCATTAAAGCTCTTATTTATTTTACATATCATCTGTACTCATGTGTGCTGTTCTCCACGGTGCTATAGTGTATAATGTCATTGTTTTTAATTAACAGATAAACTGATACATATGCAGAACCAGTTTTACAATACTCATGAGATGCTCAGTTACATATAAGACTTCTTACATAATTATACAAGCAGGCATTTTCAGGTGTATTGCACTTATTGTACAGGATAATCTAATTGGATGCATATTTTTGTATCTACTAATATTATACATTAACTGTACACCTGATGCAGGCTATTCTATGTAACATTGTAAGTGTATACACAGGATGATAGTTGTCATATTACATGCGTTATTTCTGGTTAACGGTAGTTGAGTTAACATTGAGAGAGCATTCTTTTCCCCCTACGGTACACAGCTTTTTGATCACATCCTTATTAATCTACTGTTATTTTGTTAATGGTTTTAATTAGATGTGTTCCTATACATTTATGGAGTTAAGTACGAGCTCAGAATGTATACTTATGGTTGACATGGAACCCAAAAGTACACAATATGGTAGTATCCAGAGAATCTGTACTGTGCCAGTGTGTGTGTGTAATACATAACTCTCTAAATCAAATGTTTATACTTCCTTTGCCTTTTTGCCTCTCAAGGATGATGAGATCAATCACCAGAGCCAGATGGTGGAGAAACTGAAGGAGCAGATGCTCGACCAGGAGGAGGTAAACTACTTTATTTTTACAGTACATCTATTCATTAGTTTGGTTAAACATCTCAAGGTAAGCTGCATGTGGCAATCAATAGCACACTTTGACTAGAACTCAGCCGTGAGAGCTTTATTAAATTGCCCTTGAAATGAATTGAGAAAATGGAAAATATAAGCCTTTCAGGTGCCAGAAAGTACTTGAAGGACCTAAAAGGTTATTGTTTAATCGTAAGTGTTTTTGCGTGTTAACAGCAGTTTAGAAATAGAACAGGTCTAGTGGTTGCACAGATGGAAATGATTGTAGTAAAGGATCAATACAAATATAGAGTAGGCTGAAAATGAGAAATGAAGACCATTGTTTCCCATTTTACTCAGCATGGCTCACATTGTAGCTAATAGGCAGAAAACAAAAGCTCTAAAATTATCTCATATGTGCTTTTAAAAAACTATGGATCAGCATGTCTCATTAACATTACATTTAGAAACCTTAGAACATTCAACACTCAATCTAATGTAAACAGGTTTACCCGCCTGTAGGCTATATGCTTCTTGTCTGAAGAACGGCGATTAAAAGACTCCATTAAAATGTAATCTTAAACAGTGTTTACAGCATGTATTAACAAAGGTGGCTACACAGTGGGCTAAACAGCATGAAGCAAGCTTTGGGATGTAGTACACTTCCAAGTAAAATACTTCACATTTGCAAAATTACTTCATTTATATCCTAAAATGGGCTCCGCTGTGGGTTGATCTGACTTGATGGTAACTACCTTAGCCTTGTGTACAGTAACATCATTTCACATTCATTTTGCAAAACAGAAGCTGTATACTGCAGTGTGATTATGCAGGCACCCGGGGAAGAGACACATCTACATTTAATGATATCCATTCAGTAACATTGCCCACAATGGGCTGCAGCAGTACACATAGAGGGAAACACCAAGGTGGCCAAATAATGTCCTCTCTTACAGCATCATGTGAACGTTTTTAGATTTAAAAGAATTAATTTGTAATTCACACCTACTGTATATTAAATAGCAGGGTTTGTTGTCAGGCTTATCTGTTATTAACAAGATATACTTTTTTTTAATTAAAACCCAGCAGCTCTGCCATGTGAATTAAGAAGATGCTTTACCCAATGCTCCTATACAATTTAATTTCTCTGTCACTTTTTTAAATCAGTTTCTATTAAGTTGTTGTATCTCTGTGTTGCACAGCTTCTGGCATCCTCCAGGGGTGACAGCGAGAAGGTGCAGTCAGACCTCGGCAGGCTGCAGACGGAGAATCAATCCGCCAAGGCCGAGGTGAAAGAAGTCCTCCAGGCTCTGGAGGAGCTGGCAGTGAACTACGACCAGAGGAGCCTGGAGGTCGAGGAGAGGAGCGTGCAGAAGAAGCTGCTGGCTGAAGAGCTGGCCAAGAAAGTGGTGGGTGTTTTCTTCTTGGAGGCTCAGTTTTATGCGACATAGGAGAAGGAACAGTACAGCTAAAAATGGTCGAACAGAGAAGGAATGATATAGAGAAAAGATAAACAAAGTGAAGGATTAACTGATTAAGGCAGGAACAAACGGCACACTGTGTTATAGTGTATTTATAGGAGGAGAGCACATTAGGAAGAAGGAAAAAATGAGTTTTTAGGTATAAAATAATCTATTCATCTATTCCATTTTAAACCCTGTCTTTCAAGAATATGTAGAGCTACTGGTACAAAATGCAATTAGAGAGATACTGAATTACATTAGGGAGTTTTGTAAGAGGAAAGATAAGAGAGGAGATTCTTATAAACTGTGCAGCCAGCGGTCATGAATAGATAAATGTATGAAAAACTAATAATCAACAACTTGAAGGAAAGCCTCAAGTATTGTTCAAATTACAGCAGTGGTGTTTCTTCAGCTCCAGCCTGACTTCACCCTCATACTATATGCAGCTACAGCATAAGCTATGAACTCATTCATTCTTGAAAATGTGGCTAGTTGTTAATGTGATCACATATCAACTATTAACAACTGCAGCTATCAAGAGCGAAAGTCTGACTTTTCTTAATTACGGTCAAAGTTATTTCATAAACTCTCTTCTCTTTTACCTTTTACTGAATAGCTGTTCCCATGAGGACAGCATTCAGTGTTGACAGAGTTACTATTAATTACATCTGGCATAGTTTATTTTGCAGAAGCCTGTGAAATGTAGTTATCAATGACATTCTGCTTCTATTAAAATAATCATTTTAAGGTCTATGTATTGCACCAGACATATTTATTGTCAGTCTTTGAAAAGAATGAGCAACATTTGTGTGCGACTGGGTCTTAGTTCACTGGAATTTACTTTAGAAATAAAGGTAATAGAAAGACCATTGGCAAAGCTCAGTCCTTAATGAAGTTATTGTGACTGGCTGAGTGGACCATTATTCACCTTCTTAAAACCTCTTCAATATTTCATGCACCGTTTTACAATCTGCTCCGGCGTCCTCTCCTCCCTCTCTGTCTCTCCGAAGGGGCTCCAGGAACAGATGAAAGGAGGTGACAATGTAACGACCCACTGCACAGTTTATCCTGCTGAAGCCAGCTGAAACCTCTTTTCCTTCCTCAATCATCTCAGTAACGCCTCCTCTGTGGACACTTCCTCCTGTTCTGTCCTAACCTCTCACCGGACACAGCTTCCACTCAGGGACGCCGCCTTAGCACGCTGACGAGATGTGAAACTGAATACAAGAAATCATACAGTGATTTAAATAAAAGAATCCCATTATGCCAGCCTCTCAGGGCCTTTTCCAGCTCCATCCCCCATGACTCTTTATTACAAATTCTCCACTTTCTGCATCCCAGCTGTTATGCTAATGTGCAGTGTTGCTGCTTCATAATTTTTTTTGCCGTTGACCTAGAAAAATGGTGCAATGAATTACATTCATCACTGTTTTTAATCCACCACCTCCTTAGCTGTCTTCAACTTCGATTCCTGTGAAGGCTCCTCTCTTGTTCTGCAAAAGACCATCGCTCACTGTCTTTCCATTCATCTGCTCCTTTAAGCACCTTATCCATCCATCCAGCATTTGATATCATTACGATTCAGTCCATTCATCATTCAACTACACTGAGCCTTTTTCATTAACCACCCTTTTTTTTCTTTTACTTTCTCAGAAATGGATCTATTTCAGTAAATGATTTACATCCTTCTATGCTAAGTCAATGTTTTGACATGGGAAATGACCTGGAAAATGATGACAGGGCTTAAAGTTAATGAAGGGGGTGAAGATGAAGAGGTTGATAAAGGCGTGAATGTTACTGTATTTGTGAATGTGGTTAGTTGTGCCTCAACCATGGCGGCAATGAGCTGAAATGCAGCATTAAAAACCTGTCATCTGTGACAATAGTTAATCCACTTAGAATGAAAGAAACCCCTTCAATGAATTTGACACCACCTCTATGGAAACAGACTCGTGCCAGAAAAGATGACATGGTTTTTGGAAAATTGGTTTAGACAATTTGAGGAGTTTTACATTATTCAATTACACACTCACATGAGTGAGTTCTGTAGATGGATTTTGCTCTGCATTTCCGGCTATTTCTTAGGCCCAATACCCCCGGATTATATTCAAAATGTAAAATAACATAGCAGTAGTATTGTGTGTGAGGCAGTCATTATGGTTAAGCCATCTATATTAATGAATGTTATATAAAAATAAAAACATATTATATGTGGCTTTATATAGAGAGTTAAAACAGGTAGGTGAATTGATAAAATGTGTCAATTTAGTAGTTAAAAATTGTACGGCAAGTAAAACATTACTTATGGGGTTAAGGTAATTTAAGAACAACAATATCTCATGAAATGTTTGCCGATGTTTATTATGTAGAAAAAGTTGTGACACAGATTTGCAAGATCAAATAATTTGCGTCCATAGTATAGAAACTGCAACTCCCTTCTTCTGTTTCACTTGGATTGAGCCTCATGGTTTCATTTCATGTTCAAGCATTTCAGGTTACAGTATTGTTTAGAAGCCTGCCGTACGAAATGGAGAAGTATTAAAGAAAGCATTATCATCCCCCCGGATCCTTTCATCCAGCCCCGATGCCATCAGCCCCATCTCAGTAGTTCATTGATTGCTAATATGCCGGCCATTACGTTTGAGCTATTTGGATTTCTTGGATGGGAATGAGGTCAGGGGTTAAAGCGAGTCTCACAGCTGTGTGTGTTCGCGGATTAAAGGACTCTCAATCCTCCTATTTCAATCTTCTCTTACACTATTTAATCCCGTTATTCCCATCTCTCCTCTTCTCACTGTCGTCGTTTTTTTTTTACCGAACTCCTCCCCTCTCTCTTCTTCCTCTGTGTTTAATCCCTCATTTTGCTCCTCTCCTCCCACAGGCTCAACTCAAGGCTGTAGAAGCAGAGCTGTCTCGCATCCAGGAAGTGAGCAGCCATCAAAGGAAACGCATCACTGAGATTCTCAACAGCCTGATGAGGGACCTGAGTGAGTTCAGCACCATCGTTGGGAACAGGGACATCAAGCTGGTGAGTGGGACGCACAATGCAAGCTCAGAGTAATATACCAGTTCAAAGGAACAGATAGTGCTTGAAACTTTGAATAACAAGCACAAGTCTTTCCCCTAAGTCATAAGAAACATTTAACTATCTGGGAAGAATCAGTGCAATTAGCATAAAAAAACACTTTACTTAATTGAGAGTAAAGCACAGAGATATATGGAATCAGGATCTCGTACTGTTTCTTGTGAACAACCCCCCCCCCCCCCCCAGAAAATGAATTCCCATACATACGTTTCAGATCATATTAAACTGGCCTTTCTTATTGATTTAGGTTCTATAAAAGGGAGTTACATTTATCTTTTTCATGGTGCAGATGACAAGGTTTGGCTCCATAAAGCTTCCTACTTACATCCAAATCAATGAAGTATTTTTTTATATAAAGTTTATGACCTCATGTGCGGAAGCGACCTTTTGGTTGAACAGATAGGTTGCTCCTCTGCATCCTCCAATCCTTCAAACCCGACATCAGACACCATCAAAATAAAATGGTTGGTGTCGTGCAGGGATGTGGGCTCCCTTTCGATATTACTTCGTTTCCTCAAGCGGCAAGCCTTTGGAACATCAACGTTAAGGAGACTACCTACCTTCAAGGACAGACGGTTATCTATCCAATCTTGCTCAAGTGAAAGCTAAAACAAATGACGCAGAACATCAGCTTAAACAAAACCAGGATGATGGAACAGGGCACCGAGACCTCCTCTATCTTCATCAACATCAACACCTACATATTGTATTGAGCTGTGGATGGTGATGGATGGTCCAAGCTGTAAGCACTGTCACTCACCACCACCGCCAATAACATGTCACTCAACACTGAACTCAGCAGCTGTATCGGGAAAGCAGACTCTGCTTTAGGAAGCTCATAGTTAGACTGAGGAACATGTGCACAGACGCTGTGATTTAGCTCACCCCTGTACGGTCGTTAAGCTTAGACCCCATTCTTACAGTACATTAAGAGCCGAGGATAAACAGATCCCATCTGTGTTGCCTGAGGTGCAAAGTGGGCATCACCTGGATGGACAGGATTACACACAGCAGTCCTAGAGGACTCCCTCCAGAGGCAGCGACCTCTCCGCTGTCGGGGCCCTGTCCAAAGGATGGACAACAGACGAATCCCCAGAGACTTTCTGTACACAGAGCTGTCATCTGGCAAGAGGTGCACTGGCCGTTACATTATAAAGATGTCTGCGAGCAAGTCTTCAAGTCCTTCAACATCAACCGGGAAGATGCCCTTAACTGTTTTTAAAGGCAGGAAACTCTCCACACTGGATTGCTGACATAGAACACCACCTTGACTCCGAGAAGCAAAGACAATGGAGAGACAACGTTATTATCATGAGGCTTCTTATGCAACATGTGCTGGTCTCCCAAGCCTGCCTTGTTGATCATTTGTTTTTCCTCTCCTCTTTTTCTGTGTGATAAAAACCTGCCGACATAAAAGGCAGAAAGTCAAACGGTTTCAAATTGAGAGAAACCCTTTCAATCTCATTTTTGAAAGGGTGAAATATTAATTCATATTAAAGTCAAAGTGGAAAATTCATAATGGCTTATGCATTATTTTCTTTCTCTTTCTCTTTAATTGAACCGGACATTTGCGAAATCCGTGGAATTTTAGAAATCATGTCTTATTTCTTACTGTTAGAAACCCCGCTGAAGGGCAACGCATTAAACATTATAGTCATTATTTGTATATCCTTGAATAATTCTTTTTCAATATAACACCTGGGATATGTAATAGGCGTACCCACTGATGTATCTTAGCTATAATATTTACATTTGTTTTGATATGTGGGAGTAGTCTGTCCTTCGGAGCATCTGAGTAAGAGCATCTGCTAAATGATGCTTTTAACATTACGGATGTGCCTACAAAATGTCAGAAAGCGTCCCTAAGATGCCTCTCTCTCTCTCTTAAACTTCCCAGCTGTCTTTAAACAGTCCCCACTAAATCTTAAGCTAACATCTTCACTACTCTTTTAACGATCTCTCCTCCTCTCTACCTCATTTTCCTTCAGCCCGTGGAGATCACCGGTTCAATCGAAGAGGAGTTCACAGTGGCCCGCCTCTACATCAGTAAGATCAAGTCTGAGGTGAAGTCCATGCTGAAACGCTGCCGTCATCTGGAGAGCCACCAGATGGAGTGTCACCGCAAGATGGAGGAGACAGGCAGAGAGCTGTCCTCCTGTCAGCTTCTCATTTCACAGGTGAGCGACTGACTGAGAAACTAGCTTCAAACATCCAGGGTAGGGACAAGATTGTAAATCCAGCAGGAAATGTTGGTGTTGATGTGGGGCAAATGAGGACAATCTGCAATGAAACCAAGAGTGCAAAATATTATTTATCATCACCAATGAGCGAATAACATTTTGAATCAGAAAGACTTTGGCCTTTTTTTACGATCCTTATTTTTGAGTAGGAGCAGTGTGCTCAAAATGTCACTCAACTGTTTGTGGCATCAACACATCAGCAGATTTTATTGTCAAAACGATATTGTGCATTCTTTATTGATTGCTTGAAACCCTTCATGTTGTGAGTTCCACTATCGTCGGTATTTTAATTTATATCCCTAATGACGGGTTCATAAATATTCAATGTAAATCATATCCATTTCACAGCGAGTAGAACTTCTACCCTTGGTGTCGAGGTCCTGTGCTCATTAGTATACTTCCTGCATCTGAGGCGCTGTGTTCTGGTTTTCAGCACGAGGCAAAGATCCGCTCTCTGACGGACTACATGCAGAATGTGGAGCTGAAGAAGAGGAAGTTGGAAGACAGCTATGACTCTCTGAGTGAAGAGCTGGCCAAACTCCAAGCTCAAGGTAGACTAATGTAATCATGATAGTACAAAAATCAGTATCTTTCTTAATGTATTCATCCAGTCAACAAACAAGACTAATAGTAAAGACAATCCAGACTTTTCTTTAGCACAGCACTGCTTTGAGCCAAATCCAATGACGCTGATGTTAAGAAGGTATACCGTGTAATGTCATCGTCATTACATAAAGGCAAGCAGGTCATTGGGTTTCATCCTCTGCACACCAAACTGTATGTCTTTACAAAATGTCATGGAAATCCGTCCTATATTGTTGCAGACAAAAAAGACCACAGTGGCATTCATGTCTAATCTCAATTAACTCCTCAAAAGTATTTAGAAATGTGAAAATACACAGTCATGTTAGACGTTTGTAACAGTCTGTTTTGAGGTGAAATCGAACTATCTCGCTAAACCCCAAGGATCAATATTGAATAAACAGAGTCAGCGCAGCACATGTAAAATGTCTTGCTTCTGTATGTGTGATAAAAATGTCTTTGCCCCAGGCTCGGGTTGAGATATTTTCCCTACGTGATCAAAATAACAAACCAGGAACAGAGTGTCTCCCATTTATTCAGACTCAAAGGTGAAGCAGGAAACAACAATACGGTCAGAAAAGCTATGCAACAGATTTATGGCTGATAAATTATACAATTGCTCCAGGAGCAAAACTAATCAACAGTCATCAAAACAAATGTATTCAATAAATCAAAGAATACTGCAGGTTAAAGCAGAATATTTATCCTATAAAAGCACATATTTTTACAGAGACAGTGTGCCAAAGCGATTGAAGTGATGGATAATAATCTTCTGTGTGACATTCTTGCTAAATACAGAGTGAAGGACAGCATGCAGGTTAAACCACTCTGTAAATATCCAGTTAAATTGATGACTTTGGCCAAAGGCAGATATTAAATATAAATTTAATATTCTGACAGAGCGAAACACAATCCTTTCTTGAGGAAGTAAACAAAACACAACAATGTGTTGATGTATTTCCGCTTCACCGGACTGGAACTGGGAGAGGATGCAGCCTAAACTATTTTATTTAATACAAATTGAAAGAATCCCTGTCTATATGTAGGTCTGTCATCCGATGGACTACACTCTCTGTGGGTAAATTGCTCAGGACCCAAAGAACTGGAGTACAGGGAGTGAAGGTTTTTGGATCACTGGCTCTTCAGAGCGGGCACTGCGTGGCTTCAATGAGAGTTTTAGTCTCTGCCAGAGGCCTTTCTGTCCTGTCGAGAAAAACCGGGTAAACACTGACAGATTCAAGCTTCCAAACATATCACTGCCCCAGCATGAACAGATTAATGGTACATTTGACATTTGAGCGTCGGTCATCTAACTGCAGATACTCTCGGTACACTGACACAATTCACAAATCAGGCCAAAGGCAATGTAAGTCCAAAATATCCTGTAAAAAAACCTGTGGATTAAGTCCAGGTAAATCAATTGTGTCCGTACTTAAGCCAGGCACTCCTTGAGTCATTACAAAAGTAAATAAATACAAAGTGCTGCAGGTTGTGTTGAAAACACAGCAAAGTAGAGAGCTCCGTAATGTCATCATCAGACGACGTTGACATTTTAGGAAGAGCAATGAGTTGTCGACAGATTAGATCAGCATGATACAGTAGCTATCGTTCTCAATAACAGGTATTATCACACCCGAGGCACGAGTAGGGTCACGCTGACCTCTCTGTCAAATGAAGCGTGGTGCAGTTATGCTGTCAAAGTCATGTCACTGTCACCTCTGTCATCTCAATCAATGTGTTTTATCTCCCTGCTTCTCTCTTCTCGTCCTCCCTCTGTCTTGTTTGATCTTACCGTGGTGTGTGTGCATGTTTGTTTTTAGAGAGCATGGCACTGGTCACCAGCGGCGAGAATCACTCTTCTGTCCAGGATTCCTGTGATATAAAGGTAACCATGACTACAGTGAGAGCAATTTAGTGTAATGACCTTTTCCTCACACCGCCTCTGGTGTGTGTGTGGTGTGTGTGGTGTGTGTGTGTGTGTGTGTGTGTGTGTGTGTGTGTGTGTGTGTGTGGTGTGTGTGTGTGATGTGGGTGTGTGTGTGTAGTGTGTGTGTGTGTGTGTGTGTGTGTGTGTGTGTGTGTTGTGTGTGTGTGTGTGTGTGGTGTGTGTGTGTGTGTGTGTGTGTGTGTGTGTGTGTGTGTGGTGTGTGTGTGTGTGTGTGTGTGTGTGTGTGTGTGTGTGTGTGTGTGTGTGTGTGTGTGTGTGTGTGTGTGTGTGTGTGTGTGTGTGTGTGTGTGTGTGTGTGTGTGTGTGTGTGTGTGTGTGTGTGTGTGTGTGTGTGTGGTGTGTGTGTGTGTGTGTGTGTGGTGTGGTGTGTGTGTGTGTGTGTGTGTGTGTGTGTGCGTCCTGTGTGTGTGTGTGCGTCTTTGAGTGTACATTAATGTTTCAGAGCACGGTGTCAGTACATCATAAGGGGAGTGCAAGTGTTTTTGCATGTAAAGTAGGGCTGCAATAGTTATTTAACTGTTAGATGGATTCATCAATTGTCTTTTTTAAGAAATAATTTGACATGTAAAACAGGAAATATGTTCTTCATGTGAAACAAATGTCTTAGTGAACTTCATGTGCTGTAGGAAGATTTTATTTTTTGGACAAAGCTATGATAACCCTTTCCCCTCGTGTCCAGTCTATTAATGGTTAAATCAACTGGCTGCTACATATTATTATCATACAGAGTGGTATCAATTTTGCTATCTAAGACTTAGAGGAAAGCATTTTCCTATATTGTACAAATTGTTTAGCTATTCCTCATTCTTTAAATAGCTCATCTTAAGTAAATGCCCAAACTCCAAAGATACAGCATTGAATTTACAATGACACAAAATATAAACAAGCAGAAAATCCTTAGATTGAGGATTCTGGAAAACTCAAATGTTTTGTACAGTATTATATGATAAAAACTTAGATATGTTATTGAGTGATTATTATTCGACAAATCTGTTAAGCACTAACATGCCTTGGTTTAACTGTTTGGGGATCCTTTGGTCAAACATTAGCTCCTGTGCCTCTGTTCCCCCCAATCTGCCAGAGCAAACAGCACACACAAGCCAGCCGCTTCACATCAGTATACTGCAACACTACCAGGCCTTTGGTTTTATGTCAGTCAGTTTGTGGTTATTTTATAAAACATAGGTTATTTAGGAAAATGCTCCATGTCATCACTATTGAATCTTAAGTAATAAGGTGTTAGTAAACTATTTTTAATACAAGTCAAAGCCCTTATACAGAGGAGGTTTTGCACGATCCAGTGGATTTTACTCTGAATGCCCATGTGGCTCACGATGTCCACTGGAGGCTTAAATGCTTTTCTCTCTTGTTATTTTGTGATTAAGTTTTGTTCCCACCTCCGGGTACACTCTCTCTCTCTCTCTCTCTCTCATTATGTATGTGTGTCTCCTCTCTTCTTGTTGCCCATACCTCAGAGGGCTCTGGAGCAGCAGATGGAGTCACATCGTGAGTCGCACAGCAAACAGCTCGGTCGCCTGCGAGATGAGATCAATGAGAACCAGAAGATCATCGACGACTTAACTGAGTCAGTGCTTCATTATTATTCTTCACCTTTTCAGAGAAACTTAATAAGGCTACAGATACTCAGCTTGTACAGGAGTACGACAATAGGAGTTCAGGAGTGTTTTAAAGCAGGGGCCAGTTGCATGAAAATAAACTAATTTATTTTGTCTTAAATGTAACTTTTAGTCAGCATTGCTTTACAGTACATAGACACCAGTATTAAGCTTCCTTATGAGTGACTAATGTAGGAATGACTGACAATTGCATCTGGGGTAATAAAAGGCACTTTGCAGAAAACGAGAAATAGTGATCAATACACTTTAAACTCGCTGAAAACCTAAATCACAGTGTCTTATTTAGTACTTCCCATGATTTAAATGTGATATCATTTGAGTATACAAAATTATAGGTTATCAAGGAAAATACATAATAATACTTTCTTTGACACTGGACTGTGTTGCATTACAAAGCAGGTTTTACATGGCTCCAAAACAGACAGCTTATCCACTCAGCTGTCTGTAGGCTTAAATCTTTATTCCTATTCTTCCGTCATATGCAGTGTGAAAATGCTAAAATTGGGGATACAATGTCTCAGTCCATGAGTTCTCAAAAAGTCTTGCGGTAGCTGTAAGAGGGTCTGAAATCAATATGTGTGGGGGTTGACATGCAGAGGAAACTGCAGTGTGGAAGGACTTTAGAAGCTGCTGCTGATTACCACAGATCATTGAAAAACCCCAGGCCTTGTTTGGGCTCTTTGAAAACATGCCCCTTCAGGTGCCTTGTTTTGAAGATTTCTGTAACAAGCATGAACTTCTGGGAGTAGACTGCAGGGCAGAGCCTTGAGAAACTAAAGTACATTTCCCAAATGGTCGAGGAGTACTGACCCATGGAGCAGCTGCAGAGGATTTCAGAATGAAAATACATGTGCTGACATGGCTTGAATTGGATAAGCAGCTTGAAAATGGATGTATGAAGGGATGTAAGAAGAACGGAAATGATCTGGAAGCAGTAGTGTGGTCATTTTGATCCTTGCAGCAGAGCAGAAAGGTATAATAAATATTTGTCCAAGATTTGAGGTTCAGTAAAGTGGAGCATGATAAAATAAACTGTTCAAATTGACGGGGAAACGCAGTGCGCTATTTTAAAACAGGATGTATCTGTACCCTAATGTGACACTAACAGCTTGGATGTGACTATGAGGACACAAATCCTTACCCTGCAAAGAAATATTGAGCCTTCTCATCATTTGTGATCATGCCGCTTTGAAAGTCTGTGCATGCCACTGAGCTGAAGCGTTACCCCCCAGAGACAGGGAAGACAATTTATTTTTTCGCATTTGTCAGTGTCAAGCTGAGGCCAAAACAAAACTCATCACAATACAAGCAATTGTCAACAATAATTCTCTTAAATGGCATTTATACCAGCTTACAAACATCTAATCAACCTGTAATATTTATTGGAAAATGCATAGTGGTTAAATTCTAAGAACTTAGATTAAATAGCAAACATTTTTAAGGCACATGAGAGTTCATGAAGTTTGACAATATGTTTTTTTGGTGGCGCTGACCTCCATTTCCAGATTGAACCCATTGTATTACATATTTTACTTTACATTTCCCCAATCTTGGATTTCCTTTAGGAGAGAGAAATTATGTATACGTGTTTTTTTATTGAAATATTGTTACATTTTGTACTTTTTCAGTTGTAACCAGAAGCAGGAGCTGGAGTTGGAGCAACTGCATTACGACTTTCAACATCTCAGGAGTCAAGAACATCACAAGAGCCGGCAGCTGGAGGAACTGACGTGAGTCTCTGCTGTTCTGTCCTGGCCAGCATTCAAACACTCCACCATATGGAGGCCCAACGGCGAGCTGCCTCTTTTGATTCACATCTTCCATTCCTCTCTGTCATCCGTCTTCCCTTTGTCTGTGTATGTTCCTCTCTCTCTGCAGCTCTGTCATCCTATTTACAGTATACATTTATCTCCCTGTGGAGGAATAAAGTCGTACAGTTTGTAACTAAAATGAACCCTTTTAACCCCTTTCAGTTTTTGGAAAGGTAACAGCTGGCTGCTGATAGGTCTGTTTCAGTCTGCACTGCCCTTTGCAGCGTGTTGCATCAGATGGCAGATTGAAGCCAGAGTTAGATGCCATCTTTATTCATGAATTATTCTGGCAAAAATGTGCTGTAGGGAGAAGTTTTTTTAATTATCTATCTTTCTGTCAATATATAGATTTCTCCATGAGCGACATGAGCAGTCCAAGCGGGACCTCAAAGGGCTGGAAGACACGGTTGTAAGTCATTATTTACTGTCGCGATTCACTTGGCTCCCTCACGGGCCAATGATCCACTAAATACTCCCTAACTGCTCTAACTGCACTATTTCCTCTCTCACTTTATTCTGAAGGCTCGTGAGCTCTACACCCTGCACAACCTCCGCAAGCTTTTCGTTCAAGACCTCACGACCCGAGTTAGAAAAGTAAGACAGAAACAACTTCTTGAATCTTGAATCCTCCAACTTTTTTGAACTGCAGTATTTCAGAGGTTGAAAGTTCTTTATTGTTTCTGTCCACAGAGTGCACAGTTGGAGCTTGATGAGAGAGGGGGATATATCAGTCAGAAACAGAAGATTTCCTTTCTTGAAAACAACCTCGACCAGCTTACAAAAGTTCACAAACAGGTAACAGCCCATATCAAAATATAAATGATAGTGAGAAAACAGAAAATGTTTTATCCATCCAACATTTCGTTTGAAACTAGGACAAATAATAGTGTTTCGCTCAGCCTGTAAATGTGATTATCACCGTGCCATGGCGCAGCAGTGTCGGGCTGAAACGCCTTACCAGGATAGAATAAATATGAGCAGAGCCAAATTAAAATACAGAACAGTGTGCACTGTTTGTCATTGTTGACAAGAGTAAAGCAGGCACCATCAATCATTTTACTATTGCAACTTCAAATATAAGTCTCCTTGAAAACAGAGCAGAAGCAGGTGTTAAACCACGCTGCTTTCAGGGAGAGGAAGCCCGGTACTCAGTCGCTCAGAATTGATAAATACAAAATAATTCATCATGCAGGTGCACATAAAACACGCCTTTTATCCTCTCTGAATCTGACGCACACCATCTCTCAAAGTCAACCTTGCGCTCAAAAAGACGAGACATAACACTCATATACACACATACACAGACACACACATACACTTCACACATCCAACTTTAATATTCCTAAATGGACTACAGCAGTAGAGCGAGTGTTGATGTGCTAAACGCTCTGCAGACTGGCACATCAAGTCGTGCTGGCAGATTGGTGAGAGCTGCACTGCAGCAGTGTCAGAAAACCAATCCTAAAGTGGCTGCTGGGAGACTCCATCCCATCTACCCCCTGCCGATACTGTAGGAAAGGAGATGAAAGTCATGGTCATAAATCAACAAGCTCCCAGAGGAGAGTGATAAGACTCCTAAAGACAGGCAGTGGACAGCGGCTCTGCTCTGTCTGATTTGTCCTGCCCTTGTACAGACACAGTACTGACTGACTGTATTTCCATCTGGAAACACTCACAACTGTCATGATTTCTCTTATTACATCAATTGGAAAATAGGAGTCGTGCCTCTATTTCCCAACCAAACAATAATATAGCTCTGCCAAACCTGAATCTAGGATCCTTTGCCTGTTAGATTACTTGGATACAAAGACTATTATTCTTTCCACAGTGCACCACAGGATTGTGTCTCTAAACGCTTGTAACAAATGTGTAAAAACATATTGGTGGGGATGAAACATTCCGTCAGTTTTATGCTTTACTCCCACAGACTCTGTCATGGCTGACACTTGGTGTTTTTTCTCTTGATATCTAACTTCTTTTTAAAATGGTTAACTTTTTTTGGACAACCTTGACAACACAGCGTTACAGAAATACAGATTTAAAGTTGATCCTTTGGTTCTGGGTTCTTCGCTTTTAACAAAACTCACTACCACATATTATTCTCTTTTTTTGCTTGCCAGATTAAATGGAATAATTGGATGAACGGATGAGACACGGAGCACTGTATATTCTTAGACAATTTTTCCTTAAGGCACTTTTACTCCGCTGAACTTATTTGGGTCAAACTAATATAAATGTTCCAGGTAAAGAGATTTGTGAGGTCGCTTTGCTACATCTGTTGTTGTATGAAACCTATTGATTTAAATGTTCTCTTCTTGGGGACCAAAAGGTTGGATCTCTAACAGTGAAAAACTGGAGGATCATTTTCCTATGGAATGGAAATGGGAAATAGGAAGATAGTTAATCCCCGGGTTTATGTCTTCTTTTGTGTGACAGCTGGTGCGTGACAATGCAGATCTTCGCTGTGAGCTTCCAAAACTGGAGAAACGTCTTCGGTCTACAGCTGAGCGAGTCAAGGCTCTGGAGGTCGCGCTGAAGGAGGCGAAGGAAGGAGCCATGAAGGACCGCCACCGCTACCAGCAGGAGGTGGAGCGCATCAAGGATGTGATGAGGGTCCGCAATCCCTTCCGCCGATCCCATGCTGCACAAATAGGTAATACATCCTCCTGCTCACTGACTCACACACTCAGAAAATACTTCCGAATAATTGAACAGCCATCAGCAGTGATCTACACACTATATTACATGTGTCATTTCAGTGAAAGCTCTGTTTGATAAAATGATCTTTCACTCTGTGGGTAGTCAGTGATCCTCTGCATCTCTCTATTAAAATCTGATGTATGGGTATTAATATGCAATATGCACTATTACGTTCCTTTTTAGGACATTAATTGCATTTCATTGCCTCAGTACTTGTACAATATGCAATGACAATACAGTATATCTGCATCTTATGTAATTCAGTCCACAATCAAATCACACACAGCCGTTTTCATGACATTAAGGTTATTTAGAGGCATATTACAGTTTTTCTCAATTGCTTAAGTATGGCTTTTATTACTTCTCAACAAAATAACAGTAATGTATACTGTGCAGCACAACAACTTCAAATGACTCCATCTTGCATGAGGTGAATTATTCTGCCAGTGCATCTCAATGCTTTCAAAACAAAGGATTTGTATGTTCAAGGAAACGTGTCAACATGAGTCCACTGAAATTATTTGACATCATTTTATTTTATGGAAAATTTGAAGGATAATTTCTCTTTCAGCCAATTAAACAATGTCCATTAAAACTCATGCGGTATCCCTGGTTGTAACTATTCTTATTCATTACAGTGTGCATCTAATTTCAACAGTCATTTCAAATTAAAGTAAATTATAAAGACAAATGTCTCAATATTCTGTTTAGATTTATGCAAATCACTAATATATAAAATGCTCATTCTCTCCACAGCCGCTGCTAAGGTTACATATACTAACACCCTTCTCCATCTATCCGCACCTTTTCATCTGCCTCTGATATTCAATTTGCACTTGGAATGTACTGCGATAATAATCTTTTATCATGGTGCAATAATTCCTTTCGTGAAATGTCCAGTACCTACAGTATATTCTTCCTCCATTCTCATACTCCACCTCATCATGCATGAGCAAGGTCCTGAGAAAGACTCAGGTTCACTGTGATACAAACTTTTATTTATTTTCTAAACTAAATTCAACAACATATATTAGTTGCCAATAATTGTTACAATAATTATAATACCAAACAGATAGATGTGATGGAGGGCTGAATTTTTTTTCGAAGGATTTACACAAAGAGCTCTTTCGAGAGAAATGCAATGATTAGAAAAGCATTGTAATCCATTTTAATCACTAAGACTTGCTTCATCACTGTGTCTATTGAAGGTAATTGGACTCATGCGTTTGAATTCTGTGAAATAAATGAGATGCCTACAGTATGCTGCTGTGAGAAAGATTAGCTATTGATTTGAGAGTCTTTAGAACAATGATTTTCCATGGGGATTATACTAAAGCGCCTCAGAAGAACTGTGATGTGTTGGTGTATATTAAAGTTATAAAGGAAAAAAAAGATCTTGCAAGAAGTGTGCTCATGTTTGGATGTTTTGAAGTTGGATCAAAAAGACTTCAGCTGGATAGCTAATGTGTGTTTCCTGTGTTGGAAAACAGAATGATAAAATGGTGATTTTACTGTTTTATGCTAAATTTGATGGGCTACATGTACATAAAAACAAGGTCTCCATCTAAAGCTGCAACAATTACTAAATCGGTCGATTAAAATACAAATATAAGCCAACTATTTTGATAATCAATTGATGGTTAAATTACTGTTTCTACTTTCTGCTAAAATGGCAGAAAATGCTGTTTCCAGCCTCTCAAATATGAAGATGTGCTGCTTATCATACTAAACTTGGACAGATTTGGACTGACAAAACCAGACATTTAAAGGCATCACCTTGTGCTTAAAAAACGGGATGGACATCTTTTACTATTTTCTGAAATTGTATAGACCTGGAAGTATAATAGTTTCTCTTTTTATCTCTAAGGAGAGAAGTGATTTATAGAGCAGATATGCACTTTTTTGTTTTGTATATTGTAATTTGTGTTTGATTTCAGCCCTTGTTGTATAACTTGTCCGCAGGGCACCTTTGTGAACGAGAGCATTGCAGTCATTTGGTTTCCCTGATTAAAAAAAGGTTCTCTATATTCAGTGGCAGCCAGTTTCACTTGGACTTTAATATATCCTCAGTATTCAAGTCACATTAAACGTATTACTCTGTCCTAGGGACGACAGGTTAGCAATACCCCTTCTGGGCAGCACAAATATGATGTTTTTTGTCTTTTATGGTTGAATGGATAAATCAGTAAATCATTCTGTTTTATCTCTAGCCAAGCCTGTGCGTGCCGGCCACTCGTGCTCTCCCACCAACCCCTTCTACATCCGAGGCTACAGCGATCACCCCGTTGCCTTCTATAAAGCTGACTTCCACAACAGCAACATGAAACAAGAAGCTGCTCCTGCTGCTCCTGCTACACCAGAGAGTGAGCCCAGGTTACCTGAGGCCAACTCCAAACAGAGCAGCCCCACCAAACACCCCCACCCCCAGGTCGACGACTCACACGACAACGAAGCTCAGGACAGCGACTCACACGACAACGAAGCTCAGGACAGCGACTCACACGACAACGAAGCTCAGGACAGCGACTCACATGAAAACGAAGCTCAGGACAGCGACTCACACGACAACGGACCTCAGGACAGCGACTCACATGACAACGGACCTCAGGACAGCGGCGCTCAGGACAACGGACCTCAGGACAGCGGCGCTCAGGACAACATGTGAGCAAATCCAGCTGCATGTGTAGAATTTATAATTTAACATCATGGAGTAATATACTGCAGGTGATTATACACATCCTTGTACATAATGGTTTGGACTACTTCATTTGTTTACTTCTTACTAGTTATTTACAGAGATGTTGTATTGGCAGTGCAGTCATCATGACTATCCGCTGATAGTGAAGACAATGCAGTTGAATGCTTGAGAAAAGCTCTGCAAACTGCTAAAAAAGGGTGATCTTTAGTTAGGACTATTTTGACAACCATTGAAAGCTATGAATTATTTTCAAAAGTCAGAAATAATAGATCATGCTCAAGGCAAATAATGATGTTCTTATACAAAGTATACTGTATCTATCTGTGTTCTTAGTACAAAGCTTAAGCAGCCCAGCTTTTTACACTTAAGTGTGTTAGTAGACAAAAGCATTGTGTTTTATCTGTTTTATGAAGGCACATTTGCACATCTAAATGCGTTGAAATGCAGACCAGTGATTCTTGAAGAATAAGAACCAATATTAACCAATGACTAACCTTTTAGTCACTCTCAACCTTCGTCGAGACAGTTTAACACATTTCTCACACCGCTGTTTTTAAATAGATCGTGCTCTACCCACTCTGTGCACTGGAGTAGGATAATTGTTCTCATGTGGGAGTGTCTCATGTGACAATCTGCCACATAATGTTTTTTACAGAATAAAAAAAAAACGTCAGACTCAAAATCACATAATTAAATCTATTTACAAGAATAAATACAGAGCTTGCATCTCTGATTAAAGAAAACGTTGGCCTTGCAGCTTTCATACGTGATTTAAAGTTTTGTAATCATATGCACTACTTGTATATTGAGTTTACCATGCAGCAAGTAGGTCACCTTCTCATTTTAAAATCCTCTAGGGGACAAAGTTTGCTAATTAAATATCCAGTATACTTCTCTTCTATCGAGTATTGCATCAATGTTGCCATTTCTTTCTTACAGTCAGTGAATCCGTTTTGACATTGATTTATTATTTAGTGGCCGAGTGAGCACTTGGGTACACTTTTATTTTCAAGTTCTCATTTAACTCAAAGACCCTATTGATCCCGTGATTTTGAAACTAATATCCCAGAGGCAAAATGTACATAAACATCTTTGTCTCGTTTGAAGGCTTCCTGCTGAACCTCAGAGTCGAGCAGACAAGAACACGGCAGAGATGCTCGATTCAGAAAACGGTGAGCCTTTGTTCACATGTGCCTTTTTATTGTAATGTGAAATATTATGATGAAGATCAGTGGGGTCAAATTCCCTACTTATTAGGACCTCTTTATTTTTAGTGGTTGCTATAATGGCTGTAATGCTTTCATACCAGCCATTATGTTTGAATGATGATTTATATACGCTTACAGAGTGGTGGTTGTTAAAGCAGTTTACAATGATTGCCTGCTGCTATCAATCCACCCCGCTGTTACGTTGTTGTCATTTTGCTTTCATCTTCTTGTAACAGGCTCAGGATAGGTTAATGGCCCCATTTATTTATGGAATACAGCCTTGATTTTTAACATTCACTGAGGAAATTCTCTTCGTTGTTTTGAGGACATTGCTGCTGCTTCTTGAGACTTTTCTGCACTCTCATGTTTGTGTCTGCTCTCATCAGCAGGCGCCTCTGGGGGAGATAGATTATCCTCACAGAGTCATTACTCAGCCGACAGATAGGCTGCAGACAGGCTGAGAGCCCACCTCAGCCCCTGACCTAGCCATGACAGTTGTAGAGTTGTGTAACAACACCCCGCCTCCTCAATTCCCCAGGAGTGTCAATAAAAGTCACAACCTGGGTCACAGCCAACATTTCACTTTGCTGCGACATGTACCTTTCTTTTATTAAAACACTAATATCAGTGATGCTATCCAGTGAGCACTTTACTAATTTAATCAGGCTGCTTTTATTTTGTCGCTTCCCATGATGGTGGTTCAGATGGTTTTCACCACTGCCAACAACATACGGAGAAAGCACTGATATTTCTCTCCTCTTGGCATAAACATACTCTTTTCAATACTGACAGCTGCTTAGAAGCTATGATTCATCTCAAGAGATTTGTGAAGATTTTTATAATCAACGATACAATATCAGTTATTTTGGATTGACTCAGTTTAATTTAGTTTTTTAACATTTTATCCAGTATTTTTCCCCACAATGGTCATTGTATGGCATTTTTTAATCAAAGTGCTCTTGCTCTGTAATGCCAGTCAAATTCAGAGGTACATTTCTTTCTGGTCCCTCACCAGTAATGTTCACTCTGGGATATAACTCTACTGAGTGTCACGCATTTCAAAAAGAGCTTATAGGAAGGTAGCTTTGCAAGGCTGTACCTCAAATGACTTACTTTTTCAGTATTTTGAGTCTGTTGAGGTGTAGCCCTGACAGTTCCTGTAAGGATTAGATTTTTATGAACTACCAATTTAATTTTTTATAAATAGATTCAATTGAGCAGCCTTATAATCCAGTCAGGCGCGAGGCTCCCTGATAGCAGCCAACTCATCAAGTTTAAAGCACACACATTTAGTAAACGCTCTGCCATGCATATCAATGAATCAGTGCACATAGACTTCTTAATGTGTGGCGTTCGAAAAAAAAGCTGAAACACCTTAATCTGGATGGCAATATTTTTCACATAAAAAGTCACGTGAATATTTTGAGAGATGAATCCCTCTCAGGGTAGCTCAGGGAAAACACAGATCTTTTAAAGATTGTTTTTTCCAGTAGCTGCTATAGAAGGACATTTGGCATAGCACTAGCCATTAAACCGCCAAGAAAATGAATGAAAAATAATTAAAAGAATGCAACTATGATGCAGGGACTACAAAGTGAGCCATAATGGTGTGCTTTTATTACTGTAAGTGCCATTCTGTGCCGCTGTTGGTCTACCTGTATGACATCTGTTATTGCGCATATGTTTTATGCAACAAAGCTATGAGTGGGAGGAATATACAGTATACATATTTTATTTTTATTTTACAATTTTGATTTGTAGCACTTTGTTATTGTTATTATTAGCTGTAACGTAATTGAGTAAGTCTACTGGCTGGTTGTTTGCTTAAACAGTGTAAAATTACTCATGTTTATATTTCCCTGACAAGCAATCTCTGGCAACGGTGCTAATAATAAACCTCTTCAGGATAACAACAGCATCGGTCATTTAAAAAAACAGCGTGAAATGACCATGTTTATATTTAGTAGCAAATGTTTTTATACCACTGATAACTGTTCAGGTGGATGGGGCTGCTGGATAGTTACAAACACTACAAAGACGTTAACAATGATTTAATGACCGTGACCACAAACTGTCCCTCATGTTAACCAGTTTCTGCTGCCTGAATTTCGAAAATGTGCTACTGTTATGTTTTCTTCTAACTGCACATATGGGTTGTTTGAAAATGACTGCCAACACTGTCTTCAGTCATGTGTGCATGGGGATTATTTTGTTTGAGAACCAACACATAATGCAGCTGCTTTTTCAAAGCCATATCTCCAAGGGCTTTGGACTGTTTCAATTAAACTCATATGTTTATTTGAGAAAAAGCCACTTCTTCCCTAATTTGCACACCACTAACACTCTCACTGTGCACCTGCCTGCCTCCTTATGCACCTCTCTCTGTCCACAGGAAACACCACAGATATAAATGACAACAGGTAAGACTGCTGCACCCTCGTTGATTACTGCATAACACACATTGCTGTTAGTTGTCGTCTTGCAAGCTTCCATGTTGTCAGAGTCGACAGAAACCTCTGAAATGTAACTTGTGGAAACTGATTTATTTTAGAGTTCACGTCAGACCTTCTAATGGCCTTATTGCAGCATTACATGAATGTCCTGCAATATTTACTTCAAATGGGAGATAGCTTGCATCGAGCATGATGATAACAGTCAGTGATAGGCATATATCATTATAAAGTATGGCACTGACACACTCCTGCATGCACTGTTCCCCTTTGTGTTTTATGACTAATAACTATAACATCACTGATTTGCTTCGCTCACGATGTCTCTCTGCTTCATTGCTTCCCTCTGGATGCTGTCACCGCTGCTCCTCCTCCTCCTCATCATCCTCCTGCTGCCGCTCATGAATCTGGTGCCGGGGCCGCCTGTGATTCTGATGTGTTGGATAGCATGTGTCTGAATGTGAATTCTGTGCCCAGAACGGACGTCTGCGACAATCAGGATTCAGCCAAACTCTACGGCCTGCATCCCGAGGCCGCGACCAGCTAATAGTCCTGAGCAGGTAAGAGAGCGGAAAACACAGCAACTCTTTCATTTATCATGAATCATGGTTCAGAAAAAACGTACAAATCTCATATTTCTGAATCTAAAAAATGTATTCGGTACACAGCTCTTGCATGGGTTGTAAGTATACATTCGCTGTGATTATTAAAGCATTTGCATTTAATGTTAAAACGGACCCCCTGGACTTTACATTTAACAGCCCAGCTCATCAATGATTACTTGAATAAATGCATACTTTGAGTTCTACAAGGTCTTTACTTAGCTACCGTCATCATTTTTTCATCAAATATTAAAGCAGTATAAGCAGGAATGTATTGGGTTGGGAGCAGAGCCTGTGTTAGAGAATAAAAACATCACTGTTTTTGAGGTTATTGGGTTTCGGCCCTCAGGTGCTTTGCAGAGTTTACAGCAGAAAAGCTGCCATCTGCCAGTGTGAAGGGACGGGTGTTGTTTGTGAGGTTTCCCATGCTAAAAATAACAACTCTGGCCCGGACTGCACTGTGAAGTACTAGAGGCACAAACCTACCAAACAATAGAGTCTGTCTCGGATCAGCACTCTTTGTTTTTTGCAATTGCTTCATAAATCCCAGCTGAGGTTTAAAGATTATTCAAAAGAAATTCCCTTGGAAAGGCGCATATGACAATAGGGAGTAAAATTAATACCGCCCTTGGGTTTTCACTTCATCCTACTATTTTGGCTGTCACAGGCTTTATTCAGTGGTTCCAGTTAATCCTATTAAACATCACCTGTCCCAGGGACAACAGTTCATTTATTTGGAGACTCAATTTGCATGAATAATGCTTTACTTTATTCAAACCTTAATTATTTTTCTACTTTAGGTAGAACTAGTCAATGTGGTGACACTTTATATAACACTCAACCTGCAGACTGCTTTCCAAGCGCTTTATGTCGAAATGTCAGGGCAAGTGTTTCACAGTGTTGGTTTTACATCCTATGAAGTCTAAGTTTGGACCCGGAGTGTTCCATGCAGTTTCCAAACACAACAAGCTCTCAGTGAAGACACCCAAAATAAGATGATTTGAGACATGTTCCTTCTGGCTATTTTGGCATGACTCACCGGCTGCTGTCTCTCGCTCCCTGTTTCTCTCAAACGTATCTGACAGTTGCTCTTACTTTTTGTTTCTCTGTTTGTCTCTCTTTCTCTCCAGGCAGATGCTTTTTCTGAGGCCTCCTCTGTAAATCTGCATGCAGCTGATCACTGTCCGCCCCTCCTCTCCTTCCCCTCTTCTCCTCACCTGCTGTAAACAGACCTTTATCTCTCCTGTGTCCCCTGTCCTTCCCCTGCTTGCTCATCCTTTTCCTTCTTGTACAATGATGTGGGGTGTATGTGGGTATCAGTAAGATCTGTGGCACTGCGTCTCAAATGCCTGACCTGGCAGCTTACAATAATAAATATTGCTGCACACGCTCCCTTGTGAAAAGGGGCCACAGAGAAGAGAAGGTGCAGTGCTGTAGGTAACCACTAGTGTGTGCTGTTTGTCTCAGTGACGGTATTACGGTGGACATAAAACCAGGACAACTGTAAGCTAATGTTTGTCATTATTACCATTCTAAAACATGCATATGGAGCTGAAAACTCCATGATGTACAACATGAAAACAGTGAACCTCAAGCTCACGTCACTAATATTTACACTTTTTGACTGCATGTTGTTTTTTGATGTTGGTCTTTGGCTTTTCTTGGGAATTACATGCAATAGGAAGAGAGCAAGTGAGGGTACATATTACCATGAAATGTCTAAATTCAGTCATTAAGTCAAGTTAAAATGGGCATTCTTAAATGTATTTTGTTTAATATATAAGGGTGATGTAATAAAAAAAATATATTGTCAACAAACCTCGTAAATAGACCAAAAAGCAACAGTTGTTAATTCTGTCTGAGTATTTTATTACCTGCCGAGCCTGTCTGTGGCTTTCAGTCTTAAGCCTACTGAAGAATACGTAAATCCTTTAAAAATAGGCCCAGAAAATATTGTTGCATTCGTAGTAAAAGGCTTAATTATTTTCTTAAAACTACTAACCACTGTATTATTTAGGAAACACTCCTAAAATAGAAATAAACTAGCAGCCGTAGAATAATATAGTGTTGTGTGAGTTTTTACAGCAGCAGGATGGTGTATGTGGGATTGATTGCTGTAAATGGCAGTGCCCTTTACATGGTAATGAGGAAATATGTTATCCAATGCAGCTGTGTTTCTCATTGGTGTGTTTTGAAACAAAGGAAGTCCTTTGCACAGAGGAAGCAGCTACTGTATATCAGGCTTAACAGTAGATTCCTGTTTCTACTAATCACTAATTTCTATACTTATTGCTGTTTTTTGTCTTTTGGTATATTTGTTGACAATTAGAAAATATGGAATATCACCGCACTTATCATTTAGAATAAAACTTTTGGACATTTGGGAGAAATACCAAATAATAATTTCACCAGGCTGGTTACTATACTGTACTTTTTGAAAACAGTAGTCATAGGAGCAATATATAATACTTTATGACATGTAGGTAGACCAACACACACTAAACTAAACACATGAACACCTGCCACAGTTTAAACTTGGCGAGGCCTTAATTTAGACAGTAGACAATTTCCCACATTAGTCCTTTTGTACTCAAATAAACAAAGGAAAATTAAGTGTATGCTGGATATACAGTCTTTATCTCCTCAAGACTCTTCAAGACTCTATAGTTTTGTATTTTGGTACCCTTTGAGGATACATTTCAGATACTTACATTCCATATTACACGGTGTTTTCCTCTAGTTCAATAAAGAAACAACTGTCAGCCAAAAAGTGTGTATCTCAATAAAGTAGCAAATATATCACACTTTTTGTAAGCACTTATCAACGTAAGGCTTGATGGCTCTGGTAGTAGTGCTATCTCACCAAGAAATGATGGTCAATAAGGTACTAGGTTAAGATTGTCTAAAATAAAAATGTTCACGTTTTCAGTGGTTAATGTAAGTCGTCACCGCATGTTGGACTGTTGGTACACTGCACTGGTTTCCCGGAAAAGCAACTTAAATAAAAAAGTTAATTTTAAAACATATTTTTCCTGATTCTAGAAGACTGACTGTCATAGTAGAGAGACTTTTAAACTGTAAATCATACAAAAAACTGCCTGTCAGGGATTGTCTGTGAGATATTCAGTCTTTATCTAATATGTCAGTCAAAAGCATGGAAGAGTGGGAAAAAAAGAATTGTGTAGCAACTATTTTTATACTGCTAATCCTTGTTTAAAAGAAAAATATATATTATTTATAATTTGCTCTATTTTAAATGTAAATTATATGCTATATATTTTTAATTTATAGCAGTTGTTGAATGTGAAATGTTTGCATATGCTTTGATGTGTGCTTCAAATGGTTTGGATTTCAGATTTCCAATGTGTTATCATTGAATGAAAATGTCATTCCAATATGAATTTGTCTAACAGAGGACTATCGTTCTTTACGAACCTCCTCAGATTGAAACCAAAACGCTGATTGAAGTGAGTCAGTTAAAGAGGCGGTCTATGAAACATAAAGTAAGGGTTACTCTAGGGTATCTTCTGTTACAGTCCCATCTTATCCCTCTCTTCACACACCCACCCCCCCCCCCCCCCCACACACACACACACACACACACACACACACACACACACACACACACACACACACACACACACACACAAACACAGCTAGAGTGCATCATCAGCCAATAGGTGATTGACTTTTGACCCCAAAATATAGATGTATTGCATATCCTGTTCTATTGGGTGCAGTCTAAGTTATCTGAGCAGATAAGTGGATTGACAGTGTACGCACTTATAATGCCCTTCAAACTCATAAAATTCCTGGTCAACCAGGCAGGATGACGGAGTGTGTGCGTGTTTGAGTGTGTGTGTCTGCGTGCTATATGTGTTGGGAGAGAAAAAGGAGTTGTATCTTCTAAGCAGACTCTCTCACTCTTTGACTTTCGGCCCTTGTTTTTAACAGAACAGACCCGTAACGCTTTATATTACAGCCTGCAGATATAGTGCACATCATTTGTATGGTGCACTCACTGGGTATAGGCACAGGGGACGAGGTAAGAGGGTTTGTGTTTAGAGGGGATCTAGAAATAAATTACACATAAAGTATGTTTTAATGAATTGTTACAGACAGGGGACCAGCAGACTTGGTGTATTTGTTGCCATGTTATAAAAAAGAGCTAAGCCACTTTTATTATAAGGAAACATTTAGGCATTTTAGCTCCACTACTGTTTCTAGTTTATTTTCCAACACAGTTTTAAATTGTCTGATGGATTCCATACTTCCATATGTTATAGCTATGACTGCAGAGGCTGTAAAGCCTTATTTTTTGTTTCCTAGCAACATATTTGCCCCTATCTTAATAAATGCTCTGTATTTGAACTATTCTGACATTGTCATTGCAGTATTGACCTTTTTTCCCCTTATGTTCATATATGTTGTTATACTCCTATACCTCTTGTTTTTATCTGTTCTTCCCCAGATGTGTTCTGTATAGTTACCCAATTAGCATTTTACAATGCTCTGTACAAACTAAATTATTACGCTAAATAAATTGTGGGCTGTAATCTGAAGCGTTACCAGCAGTCCCTCTATTTTCATTATATTGAGACTTATAAATGCATGAAGCACTTTATCACAATATTTTATTTATGCTTTTTCTCTTTGTACCTCTTCACAAGGGGGAAGGGTAAAAAAAAAAGGACGTTGGACTTGAGAAGTGTTATTCTATCTCTGAAGTAGAGTGTATTTGCATAACCTATAGAAACCATGCGTTGAATGTGAATGTCCTTTTGCTGTTAATCAATGAAAACCACTACGGATACAACTAATCCTGACATGCCCAATGGTCGTCTACTGTTCTGTAAATGTTTGGATGATTGTAGAATTTATTTGCAGTCTTATTGTTATGTTTGTCTGACAGTAATTGTACCCAAACTGAAAAAAAAATCTGGCAAGGTAAAAAAGATGTGATACTGTAGCCTAAATGCAGAAATATAACTCTGACAAAGATGGTGGGGTGGTTAAAAAAAAGAAACCTGATGCAAAATGTGTTTGTTTGTACATGTGTGTGTGCTGGTTGGTTTGTTTAAGGCGTGTGATTTAGTGCATGCAGTATTCTTTCCTGTAGCTGCTGAGAAACAGTACTGTTATCTCATGAAACTCCTTTCAATAAAGAAGATCCTGTGTACATATCATTATTTCACTGTCTTGTTTTCACTCTGCCACTTTAATCACGTTTGATTTTTCACTGCTTTCACCAATTATAAATATATTGAAATTGCAGTGGAGACAAAAAAGTAGTGTGTGAATTTGTACCCCTATTTTAAGTAGAGATATACTTGCATGTTGATGGATGACCAAAATAGTTAGAGTTTTGTTAGAATTGACTTTAAGCTAAACATTTTAAAGATATTTATATGATAGAAATGTTCTATTGTGCTTGTTTTTCAATTATAATAAATTGTAGGATTTGATTTACTGTGTGAAGGAGAAAAAACACGAGGCATCAGTGAGACTGTGACGTCAACCTAAACAATTCAAACACAGGTCCCAGTTTGTTCAAATTACTGTCCAAGGTAAACTCTTTGTAGACTAGGACACACAACACACTGATTGTACAACCAGTTTGTTTGGGTGAATTTCCTAAAAACAAACACGTTGTTTTCACGTGTCACAGAATACAGTCCAAATGATTCAAACGGTGTGTCTGGCCAGTCTGACCTCAATGAACCATGCATGACTGGTCTTGCTTTGTTTGAATTTAATATACTTTACAGCTCAATTTTTTTAAACATATTTCCACAGTAAGGCGTGTTTACGAACATGTATATTTTTCACTGAAAGTTCATCTTCATGCATCCCCTTTGCAGCTTTAAAATACACAAAAGTGAAGAAGAAATGTGCTTTGAATAACATTTTGAGTTTATCCATTCTCATGTCATCTTTTGCTCCTCCCTCAAAAAACACAATGATGTTTCAATACGGTCATCTTGTACGTTTGTCCTCGTTTTAAGATGAGATTTAAATTGAGCACACACAAACCTATCCTTCTGCAGAAGTTCACTAGTGTCAAGCTCTGCATCACATGTATCTCCACAGTGAAGGAAGCTCAAACCACCAAGTGACATCAATTTTGACATTTTAAATCAAAGCAGCTAGAATTTATGTTTTTGTGTTTCACTCAGTAGAGTAGAAAACTTTCCACACACAAGCTATGCCAAGTAGAAAGAGCATGCAAATCAATAATACAATTCATGCTATGAATAAATATTGCGATAACAGTTATTTGTGAATAGATGAGACAATAGGACAAACTCCACTGTTGCTTTATGACCTCATACATCCAGAGGAGGAGAAGGGGGGGACCTGTGCTGCCCAGGGCCAGGAGCCAAAAGGGCAAAGTGCAATATTTATTTGAGGACAGGAGAGGACAGAGATCACAAGAACTGTAACACAGACCTCCTTAAAAACACTCCGGCAACTCCCTCCAGCAGGAAACATCGATTCTAACACTGCCTGAGCCACATGCTGGACGACTGTGAGTATAAACCTGACACAATAACACATGTTGATTGTTGATATATCACACATCTGTCACTTTTATGATTATTGTAGATTTCACAGTTTCTGCTATACAAATGTAAGTTTAAAAAAATGAAAAGAATGTGAACTCTATTACTGTTGAAAACTATTAGTAGTTTAGTGTGGTTGTAATATATAGACACTGCAAACAGGAAGGGATTACATTCAAGTTGCATACTTAGAAAAAATATAATTGGTTTTTAGTTTTCAGATTTTCTAATCACTTTGAAAGTATTTTCAATTGATGTGAATACAAAATATTGACTTTAGAGGAGTTCCTCTGATAGATCATTAACCACCCAACTGTAAACACTGTTTGTTTTTTAAATGAGACTTCAAACTGTGGTTGTATACCTCCACACATCAATCTTTGAGTGTTTCTCAGACTATCCTCAGTTTACTGTAGCTCAAGTTGACTGATAAAGCTCATTGTCGCTATTAATTGTAACTATTCAATCAATACATCAATGCAGCTGTGACCTCTGATATCATGATGTGATGAAATGGTCCCATCTTTGATCATTTCACTGTCTTAATTTGTCTCATGGTAGCTTTCATTTCTCCGGCTATCCATCTGAAACAGTAATATTAATCATCATCAACATTATGTTGAGCTTAAGAATCTGTGTTAATGGAGGCACTAATGAAAGAACTTGAGGCTGTTGTACTGATCCAAGCTCAATGTTCATATTTCAAACCTGTTAAATGTCCACAAATATCTAAAACAACATCAGTTCTGTGCAGTGTGTCCCAGTTGGCTGTTTATTGAAGAAGGATCATAAAAGAGAACCACATCCACACGTTTTAGAACTCCCCAAGGTCTTTGGATTTGTTACTTCCAAAGGACGTGGAGGTGAGCCATAAACCCAAATCCAATCTCCTGTGGCTGATGAAATGACAGCCATATTGGTTTTTCATATGAAATGAAGACATTGACAAACACATTGGAGTTATGGAGTATGACATTATTCCTTTTCATTCTTACAATCTGTTGATTCAAGTAAGACAGGCTGCAAGTGGGCAGGAAGAAAAAGAGGTCAGACAATAAATCTGATTTCTAAATTTGATCCCTCACCCTCTAGGGTTGAACTGCTTAAAAACATGTTTGTCTTCATCTCTGTCTTTGCAGCCTCATCATCTGTAGGCACATAATGTATAATCTGTGCAAATCTTATCTGCTGTGTTGACATTTCTTGCGAGAGATGATCAAACAGCAATGATTAGAAAATGAGGTCACTCTGTGTCTTTCACCTCTTTGTCTGTTTTCTGTGCTCCTTATCTATAAAGTGTGAACTTACTCTGGGAACTGGTACACCACTTTATCATGTGTTTACATTGTTTAGCTTAATCTATGGTGATAACATTCTTGTAAGGGAAAAACACTTCAGGTAACTACAGTTCAAAACCCCTCACCCTGTGTATGTTTTCTGCATGCATAACGTTCATGCACTTTTCCAGTTTGAGATTCACATTAAAAAGTTCCTCCAGACTGAGGCTCATCCAGAATATTAATCTTATTGGACATGAGGCAACCTGCCAGCAATGGGCCTGTGACCTAATTTAATCTCTTAATTTATAGCTGGAGATTCTCAACTCGACAAGCTTCAACAAGGGTAAATTCACAATAAATCATATACTCTAGGGTGGAAAACTTTTGCTGCACCGCCCTCCATTGTGAGTGTTGAAAATGTTGTACCTCTGTCCTGTTGTGTCATAGCAATTTAAGCAGAGAAAACACCTGCTTTTGAAATCATTTATTGGGGTGAGACAGTCCGTGGAGGGCACTGCACTGTGTCTTTTATTTATCAGAGATAACAACTATGTTTGGAACTAAACTGGCATGGGTACAGTTAACAGGGTCAGTTTTGGCTGTAATGTTCCCCCCTCCTGATTGGACCAACAAGAGAAAGGCTAGATTTGGCAAATGTGAGCCAGGCAGCATTACTCAATCACATTGCACAATGTGTTACCCAATGAACTGTTATTATCATTTATGTTGCAATTGAGCTGCACCTCTACAGTATATTTACCTTTTTATTCGATATTATATCTACAGGGTTGTCCTCTAAAGTTCCAGTACATAGTGCTTGGTGTTGTGGCGTCATCCGGTGGTAACCATGACTACTCCAGAGACACCTAACGGAGTGGTGCACCGAAACATAAAGACCCCTCAGTCAGAGGAGATCTCTGGTCCTGGTATGGTCAAAAATATATTTCTACAGCTTTTTTAGTTTTTCACTGAATATTAATCCAGGTGCAATATGTCCAGAATATTTTACTGTTTCAATTTATGCAATTTTCATTCCTCTCTCAGCAGCTGGAAACCGTAATAATGTGTCAGATGAAGATCTAAGACAGTGGCAGAAACATGCGCAGGTAAACAGCTTCTTTTATAATGTTGTTGGTATTTTTGCTTCTTTAAAGTAATGTAACTTATTACATTTGGATTGTAATTACTTTCTAACAAATATTGAACAGGTCAGGGTAAACTTATAGCAGCACTCAACAGTGATTTCTGTCAAACTCTGTCGAAAGTTATCAAATGTTTTTCAATATGACTACATTTTTGATTACCGCTAGTAACTTTAATTCAATTGCATTATTTTCCTCAGTAACCGTAACTGATTACAATTAAATGTATTTAAATTACGTGACACCGTTATATGTTATTACTTACTTCCCGTCACTGCAGGTAACACATAATTTAAATTCCAGCCAGTATATTAAATTGGGGTACCTTGATCATGCTCTCACTCCTCTGTCTTACTCATCTGGGGAAATCAAATATAGAAGCTAAAACTGTAGGGATACAGCTTAACATCATATTTTAAGTTTGCAGAATTTGGGCTGCAACTTGCATAGTACTTGGGTGATTCATGAGAGTTGGCTTTCCATTTAGAAATCCAAATATTAATTTCCTCCTGTGTGTCGTCCTGTAGAGGGTGAAGGAGAAGGTCCTGGAGCAGGTCCAGGTTCAGCTCAGTGATTTACTGGACCAAGCTCTGACTGAAACTGTGGAGTCTTTCACCCAAACACAGCCAACATTCAATGGAAAGACAACAAACAAATCTGCACCCAGGTGAGGAAGAGGGGCAACTTTCACTCGCACACATAATTCCATGTTTTTCTAAGAACTCTAGTAAAATGTGTGTCTCTCCAATTTTTCTTGTCGTTTGTTTTAGATCTCAGAGAGCGGATGATGGCAAAGTGTTTGTGGCCAGGCCGTCACTGTTGGAGTAAGTCAGAAATGATATGTAAGGTGGTGAACTATGCCAAAACACATCTCCACCAACTTGACAATACATGCGCCGCTTTTAGAAAACATTGACCAACTGATGAAACATAGTTTACTAAAAGCACTGCATAAACCAAACGCTGCAAATATATAACGCTGTAGGAAGCTCAAAACAAAAAACATAAAATGTTGGCACATTTGTGTTTTTATATTTGCATCGTTTCTGACGCTGCAGTGTGTTTCTCCTGATGGAAGTGTATTGGGCCGTTGTAGCGTGTTTGCACCTGTCGCCCACCGTACAAACACCCAAAGATATCCACTTAATGATCACATACAGTAGGACAAGGAAAAGCAGAGGACGTTTTGTGTGATGCTGTAAAATGTAAATTGATTGTCAAAGTAGTTGCTGATTCATTTTCTGTTGGTTAAAAGTTATCTCTCATATACCATACCCACAGCTTTATATATGCATGGTGTGTGGGCGAGGAGTTATGCAACTTGTTATGACAGACAATCCGAGTCTACAGAGATATGAGTTCTGTATGTAGATTGTGTACAAAGTTATACTGTTAAAAATTCCACATGTATGCGGAATGGCAGATATTGACATTCATACAATTTACTCAACCAGTTCTCCTCCTCTTCCTCAGTGAACTCTTTGAGATCAACCACATCAGGACCATCTACCACATGTTCATCGCTGTACTCCTCATGTTCTGCCTGAGCACACTGGCTGTGGACTACATCGACCAGGGCAGGTGTGTGTGTGTGTGTGTGTGTGTGTGTGTGTGTGTGTGTGTGTGTGTGTGTGTGTGTGTGTGTGTGTGTGTGTGTGTGTGTGTGTGTGTGTGTGTGTGTGTGTGTGTGTGTGTGTGTGTGTGTGTGTGTGTGTGTGTGTGTGTGTGTGTGTGTGTGTGTGTGTGTGTGTGTGTGTGTGTGTGTGTGTGTGTGTGTGTGTGTGTGTGTTTTCTCAAACTCCATGACCCTGAACTAAATCTAATAGACACTCAATAAACCCCAAAGCATTTAAAAACTTTCCTATCTTCTTTTTCATTTTCACTGTGTCCCTTCCTCCTAGTACTATCCCTGCCTCTCTGCCCGTTTGGCAGCAGTACGATAGTGCAATCAATCCCTCGGAGTATTTCTGTGTTGCTCTGGGCAGCTCAGTAATGATTCGCTTGCAGACGCAAGAAGTTTAATTCTTGTGCTCCTCCATCGGGAAACTCGACTGTGTGCAAATAATTTGATACGTCGACACACATTGATTTTATATCTGGAGAATGAAATAAAAAATTATAATATACAACTGGACGTGATGAATGGCACCATCCCTTTGACATGCTGCAGTGAGACAATGTGTATTTTAAATCAATTTTGAAAATCAATTGCTATCACCAGAGGGGTCTTTCAGAGCAAATAATTCAAAAGCCTTTAACTATGCTTGACATTTATTCAAAAACAGTCAAGCTTTGATATCATTAACATTTTAATTTAAAACCCTGTTTGAAGCTAAAACAAGACATTGTGGCAAGTAGAGCGCATCACTTCTAATCTTCAACTTATTTTCTTCTTTGTAATAACTTTGTCATCCCCTTCACTTAATGATTGTACTTTTTATTTTATGCCATCCCAGGATAGTTTTGGAGTTCGACCTGCTGTTCTTCGCCTTCGGGAAGCTGGGGACGGTGGTCTGGGCCTGGGCTGTGATGTTTTTCTACACGCTGCTGGTCCCCTACCTCACGCTGGTGATTTGGGGGTCTTTGTACAACACCTGCCCCTCTAAGCTGGGTCTGTCCCTCGGCACGGGGCTGATCCTGTCTGCAGTGCAGACCTACGTCCTGGGACTCTTCCCCATCTTTGTGGTTGTACAGTACCAGCTGCCACCAGCCTCGCGGTTTATTGTGATTCTGGAGCAGGTGAGTGTCTGTTTGAGGAATAACAGCTTTTTTTATTTATTGAGAACAGGGTGCAACACTTTTGAACTGCCCATAAGCCTTCAGGATACATCAGCATGTATCATACATGTATTAGAATTGGCTTATTCGTATAAAAAAAAGAAGGAAAAAAAAGGTACAAATAAATGCAGTACAGAAAGGATAACCAATTGTAATTATTAACCATGATCAAATGTGTCCATCAAACGGCAATGAAAGGTCCTGCTAAAGACATATCTTCATTACTGAATTCAAGAGGTTCTCAAACTTTATGTACTGAGTGAGTATTGGCCCATTTATGTATATTGTTTAGTCAGATGTTGATATATTAGCATAGCCCTAAAAAATCTTACATATGATCTGCTCCAAACACATTAACTACAGTATGTAGGTCAAAGTAATTTTGGAGGAAAAGACGCTTTTCTCAAAGTATCTAAGCAGCATCGAGGAATTAATCTCCCTTTGACACATGCAGTAATAGTACTGAATCAGAGATAACACACACGATCATTAGAGCTTAGCAAGGCAGCAATGCCAAGCTTAAATCACACGAGGAGGAGGGATGGGTGTTGGAGGGAGTCGGGCTGCATCCACAGTTAACAGATCAACAGAGAACAAGTGAGAGCAGCAGATTGTACCAGCTAATTAGCACACATTTATTAATATTGGATTGGATGTTGCTAGATGACTTGTAGCTAAACAATAAACCATGAATAAGTCAATTATTGTGAATTTGAATTAAACAGCTGACAACAAACAGCTAACATGAGCACTTCATGTGTGATTTCCCAGCAGCAGCAGGTCAGTGTTTACAGTTCTAGCTGCTCCGAGAAAGTGCGGGTAAACAACCAAAGGTTGTCTGGAGTTCCAAGTCACGATCGTTTTCATAACTCCTGCAGTATGAGCAGAGGATCAGAGGGTTTTTTATTGCAGCATGAACTGCTGCTCAGCATCACTTTTTTTTATTAGGAACAACATGGACTGTAGATGAAATGATCTTCAGTGGAACTCAAAATGATAAATGCAGCCATCAGCAGGAACATTGTTAGAAGAAAAGCCTGCTGGCCAGAGTTTGGAGAGATGGGATTCTTCCAACTGGAAAGTCACCAAAACAGAAAGTCAATCTCAATGCAGCCAACGTTTGAACATCGCGGGTGCATTCTGTAATACCTTCTCATCCTTTATCACACTGGCCCTGGGCTCCAAACCCGTCTTAGTCCTGCGATCATTTTATCTTCATTGGATGGAGTGAGATAATCCCAGTGCTTATATGCTTTTGGGAAACCCGGTCCTTATCCTCACCTGACCTGGAACCAATAAGTCTATTCGTAATTCTGGTGCTCTCCATACCACATATCAACAGTTTGATATTGGTTTTTGATGCATAATTGAATGTGTTTACTTAACTTAATTGTAAAAAAAGTAATTGGTTCCCTGTTGTCTGCAGATTAATGACGCATCATGTCTGAATCACAGTTGGCTGTCTAAAAATGATTAACCATTTTATTTAAATGGCGCCTGTTGTGCTATAGTTCCCTTTTAGTCTTTGTTCTCACGGTTAATTACAGAAGTGAGCTAGATAATGAATCATTAAGTCAATACGTTCAAATGCAGAGCATGAGATTTAGGCCCCAAGGATGTAGTTGTTCACTGCAGACACCTTCTCAATTCATGCAATAAAGACGGACATAGAAGCTGTTAGCATTGATGCATTCATTGTGTCTCACTTCACATAATACCTATCTATTTTCCGCAGATTCGATTCCTGATGAAAAGCTACTCATTCATAAGAGAAACCGCTCCTGTTATCATGAGGAACACACCAAAGGAAGGTACTGAACTGCATTGTATTGATGTCAGGTGTATTTACTCCTCAGCCTGAATCATTACTCACGATGACACTCTCAGACACGAGAGAAATGACTCCCAGAGAACTCAGCGGGTTACCATCCAATGATTCATGCTTAAAACTAACAATGAATACACAACACAGACTGAAACACACATGCAATAAATAAAATTGAACATGTGCAGTCCCATGAGATCCTGTCATAAAAGTGTGTTAGTGGTGAGGAATGTGTCTCTCTCTGACTGCATAGCAGAAGACATAAATAGTTATTACAGTAAAATGCCTCCAGTTTAAAACTCCTGAATAAAAAAGTAAAGACTGGCAGAAACAACTTTATAAAAGTTTCTGTAAAATACATTTGTTTTGGAAAGAGTTGAAAATAAAAAAAGTTGTAACAGCTATGTTAAATGAAAGAACAGCAGGTTTGGAGCTTGACTGAATTACATTTTAAATTCAGCAAAAGAGATAAGAGGTTTTTCTATGCGGACAATTTTGTTTAATGGCTTAATGATTGTGTGATAAACTCACTGTTGCTTCATTTTAATGGGAGCCATTTCTTAGCAGGTCCCTGTACTCAGGTGCCGTAAAGCTAAAGCTAAAGCTTTCACAAATGGAGCTGTTAATGGCTGGTACTGTGCCACATAATGAAACAAGGCAAATTAAATGAACTTAAATAAGCTATTTGCATTCTGGATCATTTTAACTGCTAAAATATACTTGACTGTTAGAATGTAGGACTCAAAACTAGACCCCTGACTTTGATGGCCATACAGACTGGATTGTTTTTGTTTCTCAGGAGAAAGCCCCAGATTCCCATCACTTTCCAGCTATCTGTACTTCCTCTTCTGTCCGACTCTCATCTACAGGGAATCATATCCTCGGTAAGACACATTGTCCTTTTGAACCTTTTGCTGATCCCTCATTATTGACTTTGTAGTCACATAATTGTCTCTTTCTTTGCAGGAATACCCATATAAGATGGAAGTATGTTGGCATCACAACTGGAATGGTAAGTTAAACTTCATTGTGTAGATTGTGACAGAAAAACGAAGTAGGTGTAGTGAGGTTAATGACCTATAAGTAGCTCATAGCACTTGTGTATTGTTGGATAACGTAAAGCAATCATAAACTACAGCTTTTATCTCAGATCTCTGAGGTCACAGCACTATCTCCTGTTGTGCTTATTCTGAAGTGAGCTCTAGATTGGAATTGCTTTTAACTTATAATGCTTAATTTGCAGATTTTTGGATGCCTCTTTTATGCCTACTTCATCCTGGTCCGCCTTTGTGTGCCCGTCTTCAGACCTGAGACCAAACAGCCTTTCACTAAACGAACTATGGTCCTGGCTGTGTTCCACTCAATATTACCAGGTACTTCCTACTTTCTACTTTGCTGCAGCTTCTTGTTTTGTCAGGCAATATGAGAAAAATAAAATATTATTTAAAGTCCATCCTCATTCTTAACAACACTTATGCTTACAATTTCTATCATCTCTTATCTGCATGAGTCAACGCTGGTTAATGTTTCCCTTATGGAAATAGAGGAAACAAGTCTCTAGTGTTTCAAAGTGATACGATTATATGCGGTTATGCAATCAAATGCAGGTATTAAAGCCTGGCATATTTATTGCTCTCTTTTAGAGAATGGCTGTTTGTGTATAGGCTGATTTAAGAGCAGCGTCAATATACTATTCTTCTGAGAAAGCTGGGAGCAATGCCCAGAATGAAAGTGTCGCTCACAAACTCCCTCTCTGTCTGTCCCTGTCTCAGGTATAATGCTCCTCCTGCTGTGTTTCTTCGCCTTCCTGCACTGCTGGCTCAACCTCTTCGGGGAGCTCCTGCGTTTCGCTGACAGAATGTTTTACAAGGTGTGTGTCATGGCTGATTTTGGTTGGCATCATCTCTCCTGTGAGCACCTTATTTGGAGATGTGCTTGTTCTTTCATGTGGGGAAATTGTGATTAATGACGAGTGAAATTACAGCAGAAGGAGGCCTGACGGTCCCAAAAACGTCTCCGTCCTCATAATCTAGGCTAAAGTTTGCTCTTGGACAAGCTGTGACATAGTTTGGTACTCATGTGCTTTGACTGATGTGTCCCTGCATGTCCAATGTTATGTTTGCGAATGATTTATCCAATTTGTGTTGTGCCTAGAAACCTGAAAATAACACGCAACTGACACATGACCATACTTGTGTGTGATGCTGATTTGAGTTGACCAAAAATATAAAACAACTTTTTATCAATTGTATTAAACCTTTTGCAATGCACATAGATCAACTTCCCTGTAATTGTTCCAGTGTTAGCGCTTCATTTAAGTGCAAACTTCAACAGCAGCTGGAAGCATTGTATGCCATCAGTGATACAGACTGGCGCATTTCCACCGCATGCCTCGGTGGCCCAGGCCCAGCTCACTTTATGCTGCGCTTCCATACAGTTTAGGAACTGGGGTAGTATCTATAGTAACGCAGTGTAGGCGGAGCCGTCACGTCATCTTCAATGAGCACCCCAGAAAAACAACATCAGCCGTTAGCTGTTAGCACTCAAGCTAACAGCTTTCTGTTCAGAAACTAGACAAAAGTTAAACAAGTACAAACCACAGACTGTCTGTGTCATGGCGAGTACAGTCGCTGGTTTATGTATGTCTGTATAGGCCGTTGTTGTGAGTGTGGACGGTCAGAGCATATATTGCGTTAGCTTAGCCGATCTCCATTTAGACAACGCGCATTTTAAAAGGTTTTTCGCCTGCCGTCTGTCTGCAGACTTGTCAAAGCATTAATTCATGGTTTTTACTAACCGGTATCAGTATGTTGTTACTTCGGCATCATTTTGAAACGTGTATTACAATTAAATCACGGTCAAATATGTTCATCTTGTTGTAGTTGTAGCCCCCTTGCCAGCGATTCTCTCTAGTTTAGCAAACTCAGCCCGACTCAGCCCTGTTTGTTGGCCCCGATAGAACCACGATTTTGTCGGGCCAGAAAAAAGGTGAAAAGGTAGCCCCGGGCTGGAACTAGGCATAGTGGAAACGCAACCAAAAACGGGCCCGGCTCGACACGGCACGCTTAAACCGCGCTCCGCGCCATGTTGGAAATGCGCCATAACTCTGGGTATGTTCAAAGCCATACTGTATTTCATTTAAGAAGATCACACAGGTTTGGCTCTCACCAGTTTATCTTCATGAAAATCAGTATGTTGTTTCAGTTGTCTAGATGCCAGAAGTGAAGGAAGCCTTCTTTACTGTGTTTTTATTTTTGATCCACATACTCATTGTACTACTCTGCATTGATGTTCTAGGACTGGTGGAACTCGACGTCCTTCGCCAACTATTACCGTACCTGGAATGTGGTCGTTCATGACTGGCTCTACCAATACGGATACAGAGACTTCCTCTTGGTGAGCCCATTGTCAATACAGCAACCTACAGATGAATCAGAAATCCTTTATTTCAGAATCAGAAATCCTTTATTTCTTCCGCAACAGGGAAATGTACATGATTACAACAGCAGATAGTACAGATAAAGTGAGGGGGGGCGGGGAAAATGGCTAAGTATGCACACGTTATTAACAACTATATAAGTACAAAAACTAAAACAAAGTAGAAGATATGTAAAAAAGTAGCAGTGGCCTATATTTGTTTTTAAGAAAAGTGACCATATTTAATTAAAGTGCTAGCTGGTACTGCAGCCAATTGTAAATAAACTGAGAGAAATACATTAACTAATTAAAAATAAAAATAAATGAAATTGCAGGAGGGTTTACCGTATTGCACTTGCATGTATATTGCACACAGTTTTATATTGCAGACAGTGTTATTTCAGATCAGGGGTATTCCAGGCTATGTGTGTGGGGGGTCCACCAAGGGCCGTGGTGGTTGTACAGCCTGTCGCTAAATACAATATATAATAGTACAAAACTATAATGTGATGTCCCAATTGGTTTTGTCTGTATTTCCAAAACAGCATGTCACATGGTTAAGTCATTATGGTAGTGTAACACTCGTCCTGTAATTCTAGAAACACAAATTCCCAGCTGAGCCCTCCTGACCTCTGACCCAAACCCTTCCTTTCTCTGATCCCTGCAGCTGTCCAAGAGGAAATTCCGAACAGCTGCTATGCTCTCCGTCTTCATCGTCTCTGCTGTCGTCCATGAGTACGCCCTGGCCATAGGCTTCGGCTTCTTCTATCCCGTCATGTTCTTTCTCTTCGCCATCTTTGGAGGTGAGGGTTAAACTAAGTATTTGAGGAACAATCTTCACATTAAAAATAACTGGACATTATCGGTGCACAGACCTTGCTGCTGGAGGAAGCATCCGATTAAATACATGCCTTTCAAATAAAGAAGGAAATAAGATGGGAAAAGCAAAACATGAAAAATATGATTATGTCCAACTCATTACTAAATCACAAAAGAAAATCACTAAAAACACTCTGAATACAATAGCTTGTTAAAAATATGTACATGTTCCCTTCTACATTCTGGACTGTGCCTTCAAAGTTCAAATCAGTATTTATTCAAAATACACACATTTAAAAGATATTTCCAGCAGACAACTCTCATATTGTGCATTGTGTCCTTTTCCTCTGAGCTCAATAAGAAGTCATTTCACAAAATATTTGATTTTGTCTCATGCTTTTACTGTTTGCCCTTGTTCTTACTAGCACACATCTCATCCTTAACACAAATACACTGTTTCTGTTTAACTTCAAATAACCTTGACGCAAAATCAACAACAATATTTACTTACTTTGTCCTCTCTCAGTGGTGTTCAACTTTGCCATGAATGACAAGCGACAGAGCCCCGTGTTCAACGTGGTCATGTGGGCGTGTCTCTTCCTGGGACAGGGCGTCCAGGTGTGTCTGTACTCACAGGAGTGGTACGCTCAGATACACTGCCCTCGGACAGAGGTACGTGCTCCACATACATGTGCATGCTAATTCTAGAAAAGGCTCTAGGAAGCTATGCTCAGATGATCCGACTGGTTTCATTTATTTGTGGGTGATTATGGTGATTCTATTTAAGGGTAGCTTTACTTTTTATCAAGTTTGACAGGAACAACATCACTATATCTTATAAGGATCACTCAAAATATGTTTACAGAGACACAGACATATAAACACTTGGGAAATATTTAAAAACACGTTACGTTATGATGACACACAGACTGAGTCATACACAGAATCACAAGGTTAAAACATCAGCCGACACTTGTTACTATAGTATACTGTGAGATTCTTCTTAGTTATTGATTATGGTGTTTGAAGGTTTAAATAAACATTCTCAATGGACTGTGTTAAAGCTCAGTGATCATGATTGAACAACATCTAAATCCTTTAAATAAAGAAAGCTAAAAATACATAGACAGATAAAATGTGACTTGTTGCAATACAACAAAGTCACTTTGACCCCAATGTGTGATGTACTTTAAAAGAAAAATAGATCAGAAGGTGAATAAACTTGAAAGACAAATAAATAGACTAAAACATCACATGGCACTTTGGACATCATACTGACGCCAGAAACCAGATGAATCAGACTAACTGCTTTCACTGTTTTATAATCCTGGTTTTGTAGTCTCCTTTTATCTCTATAGTCATTCCTGAGCGTCTGTTACTACACAGACTACGTGCATAGTGTGGACACGCATATAAATTGTAGAAATGTGTTCTCAAAGAGACAGCTTACCCAATTTACAAACATAAGCCTATGGAGGAGAGCCACATGTGTTAAGAAAAGGTATGTTTGTACAAATCTGACAAGTAATTCATCGTTTAAAAAGCCCCCCTTCCAACCCCAAGCATTTTATGAAGTCACAGATGTGAGGGATTTGCCTGACAGATGGGCCCCGATGTACTTAACATACTTATTCTACTATGACAACCAGCTACAGCATCCAAGCACGCCTCATTCTCTCACACAATGGCTTAACACAGTTAACTGCTCTCTAAAAATAGACCTAAATGAGATTAGTAATGATGTATGGATGTTAAATCATACAGATGAAATGTATAAAAGGATTTCAAATAATGTTACCATATTTAGATCGATATTTCTACTTTGTCTCAACAGAATAGCTTCTGGGAGATGGTGACGCCTCGATCGTGGTCCTGCAGCTACCAGAGATGATGCTGCCTTTCTGTGAGAACCGAGGGATAAATGATGAAAGGGTAAAGGTCTGAACAATTGAAGACTGGCAATAGCAAGGAACTTGAAATGTATGTTAATATATATGTTCTTTTCTGTATTTTTGTGTGTTAAGATGTATTTGGGTCAAGATGTGACTGTCACTGTTATCTTGTTGAGTTGTTATTCAGACGTGACGCTATTCATAAGTCTCAATTCTGAATTATTCCTATTTTTATACAGAAAGTATTAAATACTGTGAAAAAACTCAGGCCGTGTAAAACGTTCTTTGAAAATGATTGCAATGAGCTGATATTTATCATTTGATTGTTGTACTGTAAGCAAAATGTTGCACATCAATAAAATGTATCGACAAAATCTTTATCGCAAAGTTTTTAAAAAGTTCGTCATTTTGTAAAACATTTGGTGTTTATGGATTAAACAAACAGGATAAGATAATGTGAATGGATGAGCTTTGGAGATATGCAGATTATTGACCTCCGCCAGGATAGCTGTCCCCCCGATACCAGAATTTATCCTAAGCTAAGCTAACCACCTCTTCAGCTTGAACACAGTCAACAGGGGAAAATATGTAATATATATTTATAAGCTATATAAGTATCATAAGATCCCTGAAAGTAAATGTATCAATTATTTAATTTTTCAAAATAATCAGATATACAATGTTAAAATTGCCAATGTATTTCTGCTATATTTATAGTAAAGTTGGACATTTTACAAAATATATCAGTTACTACTTCCTACAGGTTTGCCACAGGGCATCTGGCCTGCTGTGTGTGTTGCGTGTTTGATCCCACCTTGGTGGACATTCAGCTGGCAGGGATTGGCTGGGAGAGCAGGTACATTAACCAACCACAGGCAGTGTCTTATCAGTGTGACACAAAGCCTCTGTTTGTCTGCCTGCCACATCAGGAAGAAGAAGATTAACATGAGTACAGTGTTTGCATTAGTGATGTCATGCTCTGTAAACTGATACAATACGAAACCATGGGAGCTCAGAGGCACAGCAGGACGGGGATGGTTTTAGTGGTAGCGTCATTATAAGATATTTTTACATGTCCTCGTTTGACATATTTCATCAAATGTTATGCTTGAAAATTAAATCATCCGTCTCTTGCATTTTCTCTTTTGACATTCTTTTATTACCTAACTTTCTTATGACTTATGAAAGGGAGCTGTCACGTTTTATTTCTTTTTTTATGGGATATTTTCCCTGGATGAATACAATGAGGAAAAAAGACATTTGCAGAAACATATCCTGCCGAGTCTACAACGACATAAATCTCCATAAAAAGTTGTTTTTGAAAATTGTCCAGCGAAATGGAACATTGCAATAAGAACATTGTAATTAGTTTGGAGTCGTGTTTCTGGCCATTTGACTAATATAAATACAATTTTGACTTTCTTTTTAGCTTTGGTCTGTTCTTCACCAACTATTGAATGGATGATCTACATTTAAAGCTGACAAACGCTTCATTTTGGATAACTTTGTCAGGTTGCACTAAGTGGCTTTTTTCAACAACAACAAAATGGCTGCGTCTAAAGAAAAGCTTGATCAAGATGGTCAGATTGCACAGTAAAGTTGCAGACAAAAACATTTTTTTTTTAATAAGCTGATAGATTCTAAAAGGCTTTGTAGAACTGAGAGAAGTCGGGTCCAATCATTTGATCCATTGCTAATGTGAAAATATTGATTATGCAGCTTTAATTTGGCTTTGCAAATGAAAGGAAATGACCTAGCAATAGATTGGAAATGTTTGGTCATTCAGTATACTGATGGAAGGAAGAGGGATACTGTTAATTGAGTCTGCAGCTGTAATGCGCTGTAAATGACATTGCCAATGGATCACTTACACAGTAAATACTTTGAATGAAAGCTGGCATAGAGATACTGAGCATGTAATGCAGCCATTTTACAGCATCGACATTTAAGTTCAACCATCAGGATTTCTCACTCTACAAGGCCCATCTCTTTGTCTCTATCTGAGTTAAAGTGCAGTTTAAACCAGTTTTCTTGTCCTGGTTGAGATGAATGCATCCCAAAGGGTTAACTCCTGAAGCTGAAATACAAACCTCTGCTTGGCTGGTTCTAATGTGGAAACTGCAACAACCACAAGCAATGTTAGGTTTGTTTCATACTGTATTCATGGAAAATATGCTTAAGTTGCACATTGATAGATTTGATTATATGCCTCCACACTTAATGCCCTACTACAATACCTCCGCTGTCTCCAGTGGCCTCTGGTATGAACGTTTTGATGTTATATGATTAAAAAACGCATTTGTCATGGCAGTATAAAATAAAGGAAATCAGAGTGACGTTTTAATTCCAGAGTGGTTTATTGGTTTGTCAACTGGCAGGTTTCGCCAAAGCACCATAAGAAACAAACTGAGTTATAACCCGCCATTTTTGTATTTCGATGGTAGCAAGATGCATTCAGGAACAGTGGGATTAAAGAGTAAACAGTCCAAACAAAACATAACACCTTCACAAAAGGGTTAAACATATCCTTAAACAAAAGCAAAACGTAGACAGCAGCTTTCACACTTTGCACGCTATGAGCTATACACTTTTAACATCTGGCTGTATTTCTCAGGGAAGAGAAATAAATGAATCGATTGCGAGCCACACTGTAAGAGAGATAGTGAGAGATAGAGGGGGAAGGGCAGCAGGATTCAATCTGCAGCCATAAACAGGGATTAGAGATGAGCACGCAGATACTCACCTACTTTCATCTGAAATACCAGCCACCACTGTGCCGCTGCTTCTGGGCTGTGTGTGCCTGTGAGTCATTTAGTGTACGTGTGTGCAAAAGTGTGTAATCATGTGGTAGGTGGGTTATGTGGGGGAACAAATCAGCTTTGAGTAGTTGATCTGGAACAAAGTGGCTCAGGAAGCAACCAGAGCTGTGATTTTTATTCCCTAATATCCGTGAACAACATCTATAATCGGGGGTTTAGAGCACACAGGTTAGGCAGGAGAGGGAGTTTAGATGGACTCATATTGAAACCAAGAGACAGACACAGACAGTAAAGACAGACTGTGACCATGAAGTATAGCTCAGTGCAAACAAACTTCGAAAAGCAGAAAAAATGACCTGGAATAATTTCAAAGGGGATCCACAAGCTGGATAACAACATATTTGACTTTCTTCCTCCTTTCCACGAACATGTATCTTGCTTTAAGTGGTCACACAATGTGGGCACACTCAGACTTTTCTTAAGTGTTACTTCGGACAGGAAGTGGAGGATGGATTTCACTAATTATGAGTGTGCAGACACAGTAAATCTGTCCTACAGATTTCTGGTGGCTAGCAGCAGGGCTATAGTCATAATACGTATTGGCTGCGTATGTGTGGCCTGAACCACATGATGACTGCAATGCCGACGATAGTGAGACTTCACTCAACTATTAGGTCATGTGACTGCGCTGCTTAGGAGGTTTTCACCTCGGGGACAAGAAACCCAAACTGTGTGAATCAACACAAATTGTTTTCTGTTATTTGGTTTAACAGAGGATTCTTTTTCACAGTACTGTTTTCTGTCTCAGACACAAAGGGCAATAGGACAAAAAGCACTTTAAAAGTAGTTGCTCTAGTACAGCAAAGGAGTGACTTTTCAGCCTGAAGAATATCAAGTAAAAGCAGGAGACAGAGGGGCTTTGGTCCCAGTCCCATTTGTGTCCAAGTGCTTCACAAAAAGAACAGACTGGTGCAGAATGTTAAACACAGGCGCTTTGCCAAAGACAGCATAGTCTTACTCACATCAAGAAAAATAAAAACTGCTAAACTCCATACAATATTTACATATTAGCTCAGTGCAAACTGGATATATTGTCCATTTATCTTAGTCGAATCTATACAAGACAATATAGAAAACTCACTTCAGTGTGAAGCGTCACAGGCGAGGAATGCTTGTGTTTAGAATTGATTCTCAATTGGTCTTGGCATTAGAAAGCCTCCAGCCAGCGCCTGCCTTATTAAGTAACAGACAGAGACTGTGTTTACATGCAGAGTGGTTCTGGGCTGCAGGCAGTGGAAGGTCCCTGCTTAGATTACGTTTTGGAGGCTGAACTGCTCCCATCAGCATTCATGTGACTGTCAGTGGCAGTGCTAGAGGCTTAACCATGTACACACACAACAACGTTAAAAGAAAAACATAACAGCGTTATACAAAATATCTGACCTTCAAATTGAAATGATCAAACCATGACTTTTAAGAGGGCAGTTTGTTTGATTTTCCTTGAGAATTTCTTCAGTAACTTTAAGATTCCTCTCATGTGATAGACAAAAGGAAACTGCAGTACCTTCTTTACTTTCTACCTCGTCACAGAAATCTTGCTTTTCTTGTGTATTTTTACCATTTTCCATTCTAGACAGAAAGTTAAACTGGAACAAAGGGATGATTAAAAAATGTAGGTTAAGCTAACGTGGAAATGGACTACAACAATGTTAGGTCTTTGCCCAGTAAGGGTCATGTATGGTGACTAAAATATGTCCAGAGGAGTTTTGGATACAAAAATACAAGATAATTTAACACACAATCTTTTGGCATTGGTTGTTAAACAGTAATGTCTAAACACAGAAAACCAGCAGGGTCTTTTTCGCTTCATTCTTGTCTAAAAGTTATTTCTCAGCCATTTGTATCCCGCTATGTTCTGGGCATCACCTTTTCGCGAACATTCAGACTTCAGATCGGCAGCAAACAGCGGGTTTACTTATTTTGGAGTGCGCTGCTTTGCCAGCCGCTTCATGAAGCAACAGGTCACTGTTGAGATGATGAGGATGCCCACAAACAAGGCCGAAGAGACTCCGACCACCAGAGGGATGAGCAGGAGGTCTTCAGCTGGGGGAGGGTAAGAGAGAAGAGAAGGATGTTGTAATGTAAAGTGACATTTGTAGTGTTAAAGTGTTAAAACCTAATTTCAGACGGGAAAACGTACTCCTGTATACTGTATAATCACATAGAAAAATATTTTTGTTTTGCCAAATAAAATGTTATTTTCACCTTTAGGCACGACAAATATTTTTGAAAAAGCAAGTGAATGGAAAAACCAAAAGCACGGTTTGAGCTGGAGATTCAGTAATGTGGAGACTGAAACTGGATCTAGACCCATGCCCAGAACAGAGAGAAACTACACAAACTATCTCTGCTACAAGGGCCAACACATGGTCAGTGTAAACATGATCACTGTGCTCAACATATCTCTGTTCTGCTTCTGTAAATATTTAATACATATAAATACAAATACACTATGGGTATTTTGACCGTAAATATTTGGACTCGAGTCCACTCCGTTAGAGATATGTTACAAATGCTCAAATACATTGATACTTAAAACTTGACTTGAAATAGGTCTTAAACAATCTGAAGCTGAACTGAACAACATAATATTCAGGGATTCTTCTAGAAAAATATAGTATGAGGGCCTAACGTCACTTCCGGACAAAAATACGGCCCCGAAAAAAGGACAGTAAAAGGAACGATCTAATACAGAAATCACAGTTTAAGAGTTAGCCTGCTGCCTGCCACATGTCTATTGGCAGACCGACCGGATATCGATCCCCTATTTATACTCCGTAAAAAATGCCGTCTGACGGCCTATTTCACATGATTTTCATATTTCTGGAGTGATTATACCGTTTTTCACAAACAGAAATGTGTTTTCTGGCATCACTTTAACATTGTCTGTTTGTTATGAGGGCGCACGCCAAAAGTAAGAGGGCACAGCTTTAGTTTAATTTGAATATCTTTGGATGTTAGTTTGACAACAAAATGTAAACCTCCCCTTGGGCTCTGTAAAATCATAACAAGTGCTTTTCACCGGGTTCCTTTTTTAAAGAAATGGTCATCAAGGAAGTACTTGTATCAAATGACAAAAGACAAGCTAGTTAATTGCAGCGCTAGGTCCTTTTGGTCCACCAGTTCAGAATCCCACAGAATAAAAAAACTGCTAAAAATGGGACAGGAACAAGTGACATAAAGTGCATATACAAATATTGAATATGCAAGTACAGGGGAACTATGCCCTGCTATTGCTAGGGAATTATAGAGAAGAATCAATCTCACTCAAAATGTACAGACATTTCTCAAGGTTAAGAGTAAATGTTTGAAATTGACTCAACGTTTACACAGGCCACCCTCCAGCTTGTGACGGAAGGTCAATGGAGCTGGAAGTTTTCAAACACTAACTTGAGTAGAAGTAGTAATACTACAGAATAACAATCCTCCATTTAAAGTAAAACCCATGCTCCTAAATGTTCAATAATAGCAAATGTAGATAAAGTATTATAAATAAAAGTTCTAATTGTGTCTCTTGGTACTGTCAGTGTTACACTACCACCAGATTGGATCAGGGGAAGTGTTTCCTGGTTTTAAAGGCTGCCTTACAGTAGAGTGATTTCATTTTCTGAACTTCAGTCCTTTTATTAAAAATCCAACCCCTGGAGACTCTTACCTCTGGAATACATGTAGACGGTCACTGCATTGGACTCTGCTCTGGCCCCTGTGTTGTACCAGCCTCCATGGGGGTCCTGACCCCACGCCTGGGCATGACACGCATACATGCCCTGGTCATCCATGGTAGCCGAGTGGACCCTCAGTCTGTAGCTACCAGCGGACAGGCGGTCGATGCTAACGTCGCTAGTGTTGACGTAGATCTTTGCAACACCGTCGTACATGAGGGCGGCTACCAGGCTGGGCCCCTCCTCCACAGGGGGGTCCGGTACAGTAACAGCAGAGGCCGGGCTCTCCTCCCTCTTGATAACTCGAGGAGGGATTGGCCTCCGCAGCCACTGCACCTGCGCCTGGGCGGGGCCTGTGGTCGTCACGGTGATGTTGCAGATCAGGGTGATGGTGTTGCCTCGTTTTAGCAGAGGGCCTCGAAGGAGCTGAGCCACAGCTGCAACCAGCACATCTGGAAGGAAATGGTACAGTCAAAGAATAGATATAGAGGGTAGACTTAACATATGTGACTGCCAAAACAAAACTGAATGAATATTGTGTGATCAATCAAATGGTAGCAATCATCTACTTAAAGGTGGGGTAGGTAAGTTTGAGAAACCGGCTCGAGATACACTTTTTGTTATATTCCATGGAATGCTCTTAACATCCCGATAGCAATGAATATCTTAAGTGCTTTGACAAAAAATCCATAAAAAAATATCATCTGTGGAAGCCGTAATACTGTAAAAAGCACGACCAATCATTTTAGCCGGCCCGGCTAAAATAACTGGACGGCCTACCTGCCTGTCAGCCTTCCATCTGTGCACAAACTTATCTTGTGCCCTCATTGGTCATGTGCGCGTTCGTGTGTGTTGGAGGAGGGGCTCTGTAAGGAAGTGGCAGATTTTTTCCGGCTGTGTATTTTCAAATTCTAGCGCACTCGAGCTGGTTTCTCCAAAATGACCTACCCTACCTTTAACAATGTGATCTTAGTTAACCCAAGTTTATCAGCATTTTAGAAGTTTCTGAAAATTTGAAAGGAAGCAACTACAGATTCATTGTTTTAGTCTACATTTGAGCACTAGCATACTATACTAACTTATTATACACCTCAGATTTTTTTTCATTAAAACTATTAATCAGTAAATACAAAGTTTAATGATTTTAAAACAGATTTGTAAAGCTGTAGGTGGGACTAGTGTCACAAGTATCAGAGGTCCTGTTGCAGACTTGAACTCAGCCCAACAAAGCCTAATGGCAAACAACACAGGCCCCATGAATATGAAAACTTTTAAATAATTTCATAACAAAATCCAACACAGAAGTTGTTGAACAGAAAATGTATTAAAAAGTGTTCAGATGAAGCCCTCGTGTCACTGAAGATGCATGCAGTGCTCTCACCTTTGCTTTTGAGGTTGACGGTGACCCCCTCAGACCTCTGGGTGAGTGTTACAGGAGTAGACGGGTCAGGGTTGGCTCTCCCGGCGTACACACTCACCACACACCGGTACACCCCAGAGTCTAAAGGCTGGCCTGAGAACAGCTTCAGAGTGTATCTCCCCCCCGCCACTTTCTCCATGGAGCCCCCACTCGCTCGGCTGAGGTCGTCTCCCCAGCTCGCAACACCGTCCGGGCTCATCCGGGCCACCTCCACCTTAACGTTAAATACAATATGTCAGTATGTGTCAGATTATAAATTAAATTACATTTTTGGCGATTAACCAGAAACTTTAAATATTTTTTAATTAGTGCAGACCGTTCCCTAAGGCATGCAAGGTTGATGATATTGATCAAACGCAAACGTCTTTAAAATTATAATGTCCCTTTTGGACTGCTGCTGCTTTTTCAAAGCCAACTCTTAAGTGTCATTCATCAGAACTTTGCCTGCAGCACTTGAACGCACCCCACCGGAAAACCTTTCAAATCCAGTAGTAACTTTGGATGAAAATAAATTAGACTTCATGACTGTGATGGATTGCCCATTCACGCCGGTAATAATTTAACTGACAATTATTATTTAATAAATATTTCAGTCTGTGTAAGCAGGAACTTTACAATTCTATAAAAACTGACTCTGAAACAGAGAAATAAGAAAAAACGAGATAAAATATTCAAACATACGCATTTAAAAGTATATGCTTTTCTTATTGTTGTAAATGGACTTTAATGCAAATACTAATATGGCATGTGATAACAATTTTGATGTCAAATATTTCATAATTTCCCTCTTGCTGACCTGTTTGTTCTCATGTATTCACTTACATACTTGAAAGAATAGGGTATACTTTAAGGTGCAAAGCAAGAAACCAAGTGAGCAGAATGAGTCTTTACCTCGACCCCCCCGCTCCTAGCTCCATCGCTGCTGACTGATCCTCTCTTCATCCACTGAACCAGCAGCCCTGAGTTTACCTCCGCCGGCAGCCCTAACACCTCACAGGTCAGGATGAGAGGAGCCCCCACCTGCAGGGTCACCTCCCCTCGGGGAGAGGACGTTATACTCAGAGACTCCGCTGGGGAAAGGAAGAGGCAGAGGGAGACAGCTTATTAAAAGTGAAAGCAAATCCTCTGCAGTGGGGGGGCCTCAAACAGGCAATTAGACTGTGACAGTAAACATCTTTACAGGAAGTGGTGTATTGAGTATCAGTTCTGTGGGAAAGCTAGGGTGGCCTCTCTGGTACATTACATATTTAATGTTTAGGATCAAATAGATAACTATCCCAACCAGAAAGCAAACATTAGAAAGTGATAATTACAGCATAAAACTAAATGGAACACAAGAGAAAAGTAATTAGGAAAATTATAGATTTTGTATTTATTGAATTGGATCATTGACTCTCCCAAAAAGTGTTGTAAAATAAATCTGAGGGCTCTTTTGGATATTTTTTTATTTTAATTAAAAGGATAGAACAGCAGGAAACACAGTTCTGCTTCAAATAATAATGGTATTTTCTTAAGACTTTCCTTTTGTCTTATACGTTGTAGAAAATTCAGACCACTAAAAATGATTTAAGTTAAGATTCATTATGTTTTAAAGTTTTTCATAACCTGAAGCTCTTCCATCTTAAGCAATTATCAAGAACTAAGTACAAATACAGTAGGAACAGACATGCGCGCTCTCTGGTTGTAATAAATGTATTATACAGTATTGATTTTCTTGAACTTGTCCTGTCGTTTTCTAATTAGACTTGCATGTTTATAAAATGACAGTGTTGTACTCTGAGACACTGAGTATATGGGTATTTTTTTTGTTTTTGTTTTCATTTTATAAGTACACACTGGTCCATTATGTAAGGGAAGCACACAACACTTCCCCTAACAAAAGATCTACTCAACATATAATAGACACATTATTTAACAAAACAAAAGGGAGACTGGGTCAGGCTATTGTATGAGTCAGACAGCAGGGGCCAGATGAATACAGATCGTAATAGTGCTTGTCAGAAATTGACAGAAAAACAATGCATGCATTAAAGTGAGTTAAATTGTAATGCTGAAGAGAAAAACATTTGACCTAAATAAATGTAAGCCCCACATATTACAAAGAAGTTGTTGTGAATCTCAACAGGAATACAAAATCAGTATTAAACTTTAAACCTTTTTTCAGGATAAATATTCTATGTATATATCGGGTTAACTTTCATATCCGAGATGTTAAAATATGGAGGGAGCAGCTCTGACTGTAATGGACACATCAGTTGGCCAGAGAGATAGTCATCCTCTTTGTGGGCTACAAGGGGCCAAGGTGGGAGGAAAGATTACTTAATCCTTCAGATCTACACAAGCTCTTTAGAATTTAAATTGAGCCAAGCGGCGAGGCAGCAGGCAGTTATTGAGCTGCCGGCCAGCCAGATATCGACCTCTAAAATCCAGCTGGATAATCAGCAGAGAGCTCAGCGTCAGTCAGGCGCTCTGACAGCCATCATCCTGAACACATAGTCAATACACTTTGATAGTTTCAGGTTCTCTCATGGGACATTTTGCTGCTTGTCTCACCTAATAGTAAACAATCCAATATCATCAATGCAAAGTAAAACGTCTCGATGTCTAGAGCTCAGCAATAAAATTGTCAAATCATATTTAATTGTGTTCTGTTAGTAGACATTCATTTAACCGATTGTCTTACATGGGAGTATAAAATGTTCTTATATTGATCGCAGGCCCATGAATAGAATGAAGTAGAAATGGTCCAGTGGCAGACTTTATAATATCACCCAGTATATATTATTGTTGTCCAGATAATTGGTATAATATAATATTGGTATTAAACTTTTAAATGTACACCCTGTGCAAATATTATAGAACAGTAAAACAAGAGATTTGATAAAGTCACCTCTGGAACTGAGATATTGTGATGGGCATTTTTCATGGTTTCATAGACCAAAGGAATAACTGATTAATGAAGAAAATAATCTGCAGATCAATCAATAAAACAATAGTAGCTCTGATAGTAAGATGTCCGTCCATCCACCTACAGTAGCAGGGAAGGAAAAATCCAGCGATCCGTGCATCTAATCAGAAAGCCCAACAAGCGGAATAACTGTATCCAGTTACGTGTTTAATTAGCCCAGCATTAGTAGACTGCTCAGCCAGCACGTTAGACATTCAGTTAAGCTGTAAGTAACACAAACATTGAGGGCTTCAGTCTGAAATCTGGAAAGACTCCAATGTACAACACTGCAAGTCCAGCCGATTGACGTCACTCAGAGAAAAGAGTTTTAAACTGAAGTAGAAACCAAACCTTAGCCATTTTGCTGATATTATCATATCATATAGCAACCAAAGTGGCCAACTTTAATTCATAACATCTTCTTTCCTTTGAAGATGTTTTCGCTGACTTAACCTTTCAAATGTATGTTGTTCACAATGTTGAGTGAACACACATAATTGTGCAACATGCATGTTGTAGTGTGATCATGACACTTGCAACATTCTGTACTAAGTAGGGATGTCCCGATCCGATCACGTGATCGGGGATCGGAGCCGATCGGGAGAAAAAAATCGGGGATCGGATTTTTTTTTTTTTTTTTTTATAAAATATTTTTATACATTTTATTTAATGTTACAAAACAAAAATGACCATGTTCACGTCTTAAAGTCATCCTGAGGCCTTAGTTTTGGGTTAAAATTACACAACATCATGTATGTGTTGCTTCTTTTGGGCTTGTTTTCATAGACCTGGTTGCTTATTTCTCTCAAATCTGGCAACAGAGTGGGCGCAGTGTCTAATAGTAGCAGTAAGCTAACAAGAGGCTACGTTCAGCTGGTGACTCGGGAGTCGGGACAGAGAAAATGTCAGGAGTTTGGAAGTATTATAAAATTGAAAGCGAAGGCAGTGTAACAGCCAGATGCAATGTTTGCAAGGCGGAGGTTCCGCGTGGTGGAAAGAACAGAGCTACGTTCAACATGACCAATCTAATACAAACACCACCAACAACAACACGACGAGTACACAGCGGCCACTCGGGTAACGGCACTGAAACAACCGACACTTTCAGAGACTTTTAAAAGGAAAGAGAAACTACCCCAGAACAGTGAAAAGGCCAAAAAAATAACAGCCAAGATAGCTGAATTCATCGCGTTGGATGACCAGCCGTTATCTGTTACCTTTTTTTTCCTCTTAATGCATTGCATAAAGATCGGATCGGGAAAAATCGGTATCGGCAGATTGTCAAAATCAAATGATCGGAATCGGATCGGGAGCAAAAAAAGGTGATCGGGACATCCCTAGTACTAAGTTTAGCAAATGTCAGCACAAATACTGGCAAAGTTTCTCACTGACCTAGTTGCTGAACGGTCAAGTTGCCAATATCCAGCGTCCTCTGTGCGATCTTCTGCCAGGATCGATCGGGGTCCCGGATCCACTGCATGGACTCACAGAAATAGGAGCCGGTGTCGTCTGGCTGCACGGCCCTCATCTTCATCACGTACTCGCCCAGTCCCCCTTCCTTGTTCCTCTTCTCCAGCGTGATCTCTCCATCGTCGTACCGCTTCTTGTACATACGTCCAGGGACGACCCCCAGCAGCTTGTCGATGGAGATAATCTCCCTTATGTTGCTGACCTGCCCTCCACCTTCGGCCCCCAAGCCCTCTCCATTATTGCGCTTCCCAAACGTGATGGACAGATGGGTGAGCTGCTCTGATTGGATGCCGCCTGAGCATGTCAGAGTTAACTCGGCCCCCTCGGGCACGGGCTGGCCGGTGAGGGAGCGGGTGTAGCTGACCTGGAGTGTGTCAGGGATCACTGCAGGTGTATAAAGAGACACAGACAGACAATGACATTACATCAAGAGGCTACAGGAGCCAGGCAGGAGGAAAACAAGATGCCAAATTGAATTTCTATTGCCTGTATGCTGTTTAGACATGTCTACACGTCTATGTTTAGAACACTAAAGCATATAATGAAATGAGGTAGCTGAGAGTTACTGCAAGATGTTTACCACAATCAGAGGTGGGCTCCAGCTTTGCCAAAGAGAGGGTAATAAACAAACTATAATGAAGATAGCACAATTAAGCTGCAAAAGTAACATAAAGTTAACTACAAATATAAACTTAGTGGTTCACAGAGAAGACAATTATAAGAAACAGTATTGGTAATTATGTTGATGGGTTAGGGAAAGGGCAAAATGTTATTGATAGCTTGAGCAGACAGATCTTTGTAAAAAGAAAGAAAAACTCCAGATGGCAAGTGTAAATAACAGCTTAGACACGAGGAATGTCGTCATGTACCGAGTAAACACATAGTATGATTAATAAATGTCATCCATCTGGCTGAGTTGTTGATATTTTCTTTCCCCCATGACAGAACTGGAAATCACAATTATAGTTCAAACTATGTCACAACTAAATAATTGTTTTTCAATGAACAAAGGTTAAGCCTGTTCTTAGACATTAAACAACACGATTGGAACATGAGTGATACATTTTGGCAAAATTAGAAACAATATAGATATAACTCAACAACCACTCGGATATCATGTTGCCCCAATAACTATTTAAAATACATTACAAACATATGACTGACCTTTGACAGGCACTGAGGCGCTATAGTTCCCCTGGTAGGTGCTGTCCGTGCTGGGTGTGTAGCACTCGTACTTCCCCTGGTCTTCAGCTCGAAGTCTCTGGATCACCAGTCGGACTTTGTCCCCCGAATCCCTCTCCACCCTCACCTCCCCATTCTTCACCCGAGGCTGAAATGGGGCGTAAGGGAAGCCCTTGTCCCTGGTGGACACCACTCCCATCTGCCTGCCACCAGCATCATCTCTGTACAGGAACCACTCAAAGTCCTGCGTGCGTGGCCCTTCAAACCCTGACACAGCACAGGGCAGGGAGAGGGGGAACCCTGCAACACGGTAAAGGGTCCCAGGAGGAACAGATATGTCGCGACACACAGCGCACTGGAGCACTGTGAAAGACAAATGGAGAGACAGCAAGAGAGTGAAACACTGTGATGAATGGACAGCAAAGATTGGAAACTGCAATAATGTCATTTCCTGTGGGTCACATTCTGGCCTCGTAGCATGGTTGGTACTGATCAATATCCTGAGCTGATGACTGACTAACAGGGAATCAATACAAATAGCTTAGGAGAAAAACACCATAGCTGCCTGTAAAATACTCCAATACAGTGAAAAGTGGCATTCACAGTTTTGCAAACAGTTATTTTCAATCAATTAGAATGTCTACTACATTCTCAAACAACCCATTGAGTTGTTTAAGAAATGTCAGAAAATACTACTTAGCAACACAAATTACATTTTTCAGTGCTCTAAGAAGCAAAAACAGGTCATTGAGTGCAGTGCTTTGGAATGAGTTAGACATTTCCAAACTTTAAATCACACTGAAACTGTCAAAAGACGTCACTCAGGCCAAAAGCGAAAAATAAAACTATCTGTGTCACCTAACTGTTTAAGAGAGACTTGGTAACATGGGAGGTTTTTCACAGTTCTGGTTTAAGAGAACAAATATTCAGTGCGTGGGCCTCTGTGGTTTCATGCTTCCAGGTTCAAGCGTGATTGTATTTCACTGAGTCTCATTGTCTGGCTGCATACCCAACTTCCCCTGGAACCCCGCTGAAATAGTTATAGGCTCAGACCGAGCTGCTATTTAAATACAGAAACTGTCTTTAAGCCACAGGCACTGAAACTTCTCCTTGCATTACTATTCTGTCACGATAAGGGCAATGACATATAGTAATTCCTCTTTTGAGAGAAGGAAGCTCAGAGGAATAATCAAATGGTTATACAGACTTGATTGTGATGTTTGTATTACTATTTATTAAATGTGAATGTAATAAAGGAAATAATCCAAATAGCTCAGAAAAAGTTAAGCTATTTATTTATTAAAGTGGATAGCCAGTCGAAGGTCAGATAGCTCATCTTCATAATAAGTTGATCTATATGGTGGGAAGAAAAAAAATACTTTTATATAATCGGTACAAATTTTAAAGGACTACCAAATGATTTAAATTCACAAGTGGGGGCAGAAGCTGAGAACAACTCCTCATTTCCAAATGCAAATAAGCTGTGATCATACCGGGGGAAACTGTCAACAAACATACACCCACTAACTGACTATGAACAAAGGATCATCTCAAACTAACACACCTTAAACCCTCATCTAGAGCTGATTAAACTACCTGAACAACTAGAAATACTAGATGGGTGGGTGCGTTTTGGCTCTCCTGGCCTGTCTGCGTGTGTCACACCTAAAAACAACTGGAGCTTTCTCACAGGCTGAGCCACGGCCTGATAACAACACACCCATAGATAATGACATGGGAGACTAGAGGGAGGCTTAAGCGGATCAAGCCCTAATTAACATTGGGCTCGGACTGATAGGGTTGGGGGACACCATGGCTGATGATGCTGAATACTGCCTGGACCCTGTGCAACATGAGGGGGCCCCAACTTCCCTATCAAGACCCCACAAAGACATCCATGTTGTACCAGAGGACTGACAAATGACCCTTTGGTTATCAAATTGGCTTTATATTAATATGTATACTGTCGCATTCAATCTGACATGTTTTCCTTATGTCTAACGTGTATGGTCAAGCGATAAAGAAATATATAACATTTTAAGTACAAACTGGAGTAGTTCTGTTTGGCAGATATATTAATACATTTCAGATGTATCTGTTGCTGTCTGGTTGGGTGGTGTGTTCTATTTACAGCCTAAAATAAAGTTTTATATAGGCTCTGAAGCACCTTGGATTTATTTGATTATGTAGCAGTATATTCTCTCAGCAAGGACTATCCTTAACCCTCCTGTTACATTCAGGGTCAAATTGACCCGTTTGAAAGTTTGAAAATCTACGAAAAATACTTTCAAGTATTTTTTTTGTATGAAACTTCTTCTCCTTACCTTAATTAGTGCAATAAACAAGGAAAAATGAAAATGGTTCATGTCATGCATTTGGAACCCCCCCCTACATGTCTATATCACAGAGATGGTATTCGGGTCAGTGAAAGTGGAGGCTAAAAGGGGTCAGACACACACACACACACACACACACACACACACACACACACACACACACACACACACACACACACACACACACACACACACACACACACACACACACACACACACACACACACACACACACACACACACACACACACACACACACACACACACACACACACACACACACACACACACACACACACACACACACACACACACACACACACACACACACACACACACACACACACACACACACACACACACCACACACACACACACACACACACACACACACACACACACACACACACACACACACACACACACACACACACACACACACACACACACACACACACACACACACACACACACACACACACACACACACACACACACACACACACACACACTTAATTGCTGTTACAATAAAATACTTTCAATACAAATCCTTATGACTCATTTGGCTTGATTCTAAGTGAACGGGTCAATTTGACCATGAACAGACGAGGTGTCTCGTCTCTATTTATCAACATCAACCAATTGGAAAAAAAGTTGGAACATTTTAAAAGTCATTTAAAAAATGTTATGTTATGCAAAACTAATGTATTTTATATCAAGGTTTTTCCAATGTAAAAAATAAAATAGAAAAATGTGTTTGAATGTATATGTTTTGTGAAAAACGAGTGACTTATTCTAATGGAACCATGATCTGTGAGAGGTGAATAACACAATTGCACTAAATATTCATGTCATTGATAGTAATAAAAGGTACAAACTATGTACAAAAGAAAATATGGATTTTGGGGCTTCTGACAATTTTTGGATAATTAAACATGCAGTCGGTCAAATTGACCCACGAATATTATTGCTGTTACAAAAAACGAATATAACAGGAGGGTTAAGTCAAAAATCTTCTTCATGTTTACTAAGTGTAGCTGAACTTTGAAGACCCCATTGTCAAATACACCTTGTGAAAAATAAGAAACACACAGATGAGATCAAACTAAATAAACCTAGTATATCTGTACTGTGGAGATCAGTGCCATAAAACAACGATAAAGTTAACCTTTGTGTAAATACAGTAGGTAATAAATATGATCAGAGAGCCCAGTTGATTTTAATACTTTAACTTGGGATTTCCTGGATGTCACCAGAAAGTAATTGTATGGTTTAAAAAACTAAACATACATCAAATAGCCTGTAGGTGATTTTTGTTTGATATTGGTCTGTCCTATCTGTCACTTATGCATTTGCATTGTAGGTCATAAACTTGCAGATCACAACAATTTGAAAAAGTGCTCCATATATGCAAAAATCAGGGCCATATCATAAGAATAAAGCTACGTGCTGCAAATAATATCTAAATGAATAGTCTGATTGGTCTGCTTAAAGAAACAATCATGCAAATGCATCTCCATGTGACAGATGGCGAGGCGGTTTTAGTCATTGTGTTCAGAGAGAAATCAGGTGCAACGCAGACTGAACTCACCCCAGTGTAGCAACACGAATAATGCTGTTTTCATCGAAGCCATCACGGTCCTTATCTTCCCCCCCGATGTCCAGATGGATTAAGTTGACTTAAATTTCTCTCTCGGTGTTCCTCTGCGTGTTTATCGCCGATCATACTTCATCCCGCCGCGGAGGCCAACTGAAACGACAGGCACCATCGGATTATTTTGGGAAGGAGATTGAATGATAATGTGCAGCGATGTATCAATACTCCGATCACACAGAGGAGTGAGTTAGCAACATCAGCTAACCGCAAGAAGTCACATGCATTTTATCAGATGTGTAAACGTGCAACGCTGCAAATGTAATCACCTTTTTCATGCACCGTCGCATCTCCGTCAACACACCGTCTGCTCCATAATGTCCCGGTTTGCTTTTAGATTATACCGCCTCGACAGACATGCCATTCAGCCCAGCCATGGAGGTTTGGCATCACAGGGGGTTAGTGTGTGTGTGTGTGTGTGTGTGTGTGTGTGTGTGTGTGTGTGTGTGTGTGTGTGTGTGTGTGTGTGTGTGCGTGCGTGCGCGCGCGCGCGCGCGCGCGCGCGCGTGAAGGAGTGGTTGAGACAAAAAAGGGAGGAGCCTGCATGCAAAGAAACGGCATTGGTCAAGAAAACGACGTTGACAATTTGAACCAATGATAATGCAGTATAGTAAACTAGATAGGTTGAACTAACAACGTCAAACCGAAAGGGGGCGCCACAGCAAAACACAATACAATTAAGTAGGTTAAAGTGCTTTTACTTTCATCTCATTACATTGTATAAGTGTAGTGCTATAGACTTACATGTTAAAATTAATCAACAAAAAAAGACATTGCCTACATTACAAGTAGTCCAGTATTCAAAACCCTACTTAGGTAAAAGTTAGTAAGTATGTATCAGAAAGTGTACTTTTAGTAAACTAAGAAAAATAAAAGTCCTTTCTCTGCACAATGAGACTGAGAATTGGCTGGCACATCTGGTATTTAATAAGCTGTTGTTTTACACCTGTAAAGGCATTTCATTTTCACGTTTATAAATGAATTATTGCTGCCAAATATGAAATTAAAATTGATTCTATAGACAATATAGGATACTCCCAGCTGATTTATTCCAGAATTGTAAAACATTTCAATAGAATATGTATTATGCCTGATCATTTTGAAATTGGCTAATAACTGACCAATTATTACATGATTTTAGCCCAAGTCAAAGGACATTATTTTACTGTTTGTGTGGGGATTCGGGGGATAGAAACATGCTTGATAATAATTGAGAGTATTATTCTGTATATTTATTTTAAAAATGTATCTTGTGTGTCTTGATGCATTTGAGCATTTGTTTGTGTGTTTGCAGAGGTGGAAAAATTACTCAGATCCTGTTACTCAAGTAAAAGTACAAAAGTATTAGTATCAAAGTATACTTAAAGTACCAAAAGTAAAAATACTCATTATGCAGATTGGTCCTTTTCAGGATAATATATATTTTATGTTTTGAATATAATTATTGATGCATTAATGTGTTATCAAAGCTGGTAAAGGTGCAGCTATTTTAACTGCAGGGTATCTTGTGAATTTACACCAGGTGTAACTAAAGTCTTACTTAAGTCTTGCATATATTTCAGGTCACAATCCAAATCGGCAAAGTTACTAAAGGTATTAAATAAATGTAGTGGAGTAAAAGTACACCATTAACCTCTGAATTGTAGTGGAGTAGAAGAGCAAAGTAGCAAATTAGTTACTTTACACCACTGTGTGTTTGTAAGCCTGCTCACACTTCTGTCATTCATAAATAATGTACATAAAGAATTGAGTTAGTGACTGTTTTATTCAACCACAAGATGGCGACAACTAATTGCCGCAATGAAAGCTCCAGCCATCTGAACAGTGTTTGCATATGTAACTCCAAAATAATAAAGGTAAACATATAAAAAAGACAGATTGGTTGTCTGAGCATACCATTAGAATGATAACACATAAAGATAATGATAGATAATGAATACAATCTTTTTTGAAAGTATACTATCCTTATATATTGAAATCCAACTTCAACATTTGTTATTGCCCTGCTACTAAACCCTGAATCATCCAAACAATATGTAAGGTTACTTCAACAACAATGTTCACGAGCTGACATTGATGTAAAACATCGATAAAACCCAACTAACATTTCTGTGGCCGGCTGAGTCTACTTTGGTACATTCCCCTTTTCACTGTCTCCTTTTTTGTATTACCCTCAATGTAAAGGCAATAAAGAAGTCTAATCAGTTATTAACTGTTTTTCCACATTTGAAGCAGAGTCAGGAGAAATCTTAAAGCCTAGGGCAGAAAATTGGGAAACATTAAAGCTGAGTGGAGCAGGATGTAAAAGTTGTTATGAGTTTTATGTTCATTGGTGGACAGAGTCACTCAGATGCTGTTTATTCTAAAGAGGATTTATGCCATCGGAGCACACCTCATTAGCGCTACTAGTTGTCCTCCATCCTGTCTAGTTTCCTTTCCTCTCCTCTCTTCTCCTCACTTAAGGCTACATGGAAACATGGATGACTTCACAGTGTGGCTCGGCAGCAAGAGGAAGTCATTAGGATATTCTGGGTTAACAAGGCGGCGAGCGAGATCTGCAGACTTCAGCAGGAGCCTACAGCACACTGAGGGATGGCACTCATGCAGAGTAAACTTCCTCAGTCTCATGGCTTCCAATGTGTCGCAATTCTTTAACCAAGTTGGACAGTTAGAGCATAATGTGGTCTGATCCACTTCCAGGGAAATAAAACTACTATTTGCTATTAAAGTTGGCATGGACTAGAAGATGAATTCCAACTTTTACTTCTTCAAATGCTCATCAAATGTCAAGTATCACTTGTATTTGTCCAGTTAGTAATGATCTAATTATCTTACAGTATGTTTATTTTACTTGAGTGTTTTTTTCTGCTATTTTATACTTCTACTCCAAAACATTTCATGGGGAGTATGTTAATATAGTACCTTTTACTCAACTACATACACTTATTGATAGTTATACTGTAAGTTTATAAAGTATTATGCATTGTTATAAAGTATATTCAACTAGTCCATAAACTAGTTAAAATTTGCTCATCTTAAAGCAGAAGAAGAAGGAAGAAAAATCAAATAACACATACTTCTCATTATTCATAGTTGTTTAATTCATTGTTAATTTAAACGTTTTAAATAAATATAGTAGTTTTTTAATCTTTTCATAGACTACTTTTACGTCAAAGTGCATTAAAGTGCATTATTTGTTTGTTCAGCCACATGAGGGCAGCAACACCAGATAAAACTCTTTTCAATTTGTTATGGTAGACATTTCAGCAAATAATTGTCTGTTTACACATTCAGCAGACATATTTGGATATCAGTTCTGGCTATACAATAGATAGTTATACCAACTACTGAGGGAAAGATCCCTGTCTTTAGCTTGCCGGTTGTTTTACCTTCTTTATCAACGTGTTGCTAACTTTGTCTCTCTCTGCCCTTTGTTGCTAAGCAGAAAGTGTTTTTCTAAAACCAAATAGAAATTCAGTTGATGGCAGCAGAGCCGTGGAACTTTACTCTAGTGGTAATTATCTTTTGTCACTAAAAGGACACCTTGCCCGTTAGACAAAGCAATTTGATCAATTGTTATTAAAGGATATCGTTTAGGGTTGCTTTAAGTAAAGGATCTAAGTACCTTATCCACCATTGCATCAAGAAGAACATGATGCACCATGATGAGGGAAATGTATTGCAACTTCCTTCCAGTTTTAATTCTTCTTCTTTGTGCACTCACTCCCACTCTGTCTCTTCTAAGGCCACTACAGACTAAACTGTGACCTACTGGAGACTGTCTCTAATGACTTTGTATTACAGTCTCTACAGTCAGGAAAACACCCCTGTCATCGGAGAGACCGCACCATGACTGTCAAGAGGATCCTTTCACTGTGTGTGGCACGGCAGGTTCACACTGTAGGCACAGACATAGATTGGCACCGTGTTCATTCATCTTCCTCTGAAATTATTTTCGTTGGCACCAGCAGTCACAGCTTCTGTCTCTTGGTGTGTCATGTCAGCCATGGGTTTTGAGTATGGTCTATTTGCTTCCTTGGCACATTTCCCTAACATATAGATACAGTACATTACAAACACATCCTGGATCCGCCTATAACTCACCCTTCCCCAAGTCAAACACACTGTATTGTACACGTTCTATACATGTGCTCCATTCGTTCTCCAGTTCTGTCTGCAGTTTTATTACCATGATGTCGGTGATGTGGTGACAGAAGAACTACTTCTAGACAAAACAAAGAAAAGCAGCAAGGACATGTAAACGTACAGCTAATTTACTGCTGACAGGATATTAATAATTCCCCTCAGTGGGCCTTTGGTTTTGAAGGTTTCATTTCTTTATTACAGAATGCAACAACGATGTTAAGCTCAGCGTTTGACCACATCGTTCGACTTCTCTTGGTCACTGTCTGGGACTGGAAATGTGTGAGGTTGATCACTCCGTTTTTCTTGGAACAGAAGACTTTTTACTTTTATCTCATAAAAGCAAAAAAGGAGTGAGAACATATTTAGAACATATAGATTCCATAATGGTAAAACCAGATGTAATGTCATCCTCTAATAAACTATGTTTTTACAGTTTACTCAGCTAAATGATGGACATATAAACCAAAAACAGGACAGAGGGTAGATTTATTGCCCACAAAAATAAAACAGCTTTGTACCAATCAGCTAAATCCATTAACATGTTTTCATCAAACATAAACACAACATGAGTAGTATCCTTTTAACAGAAAGGGTGTTTTTCTGTCATTGAGATGCAACCTTCTGGATGCTACTAAAATGCAATGGAGCATATGTTTGTTGCATGATCACAATAAATAGTTTCTTAAGCACGCATTTCTGTGCGTGTGTGTTAGAAGTTGGCTTCTAGCAGCTATGGAATACAATGTTAGAAGTGGTCTCCCATGGTGTAATTGGCACAGACTGGAGGATTGTTTTAGCTGACTGCCACGCCACAGACAGGCAGGCCAGCAGATAGACAAATAGAAAGTCTAATGGGCAATTTGGTGGACATGGAGAGAGAAAGACACACACAGAGGAGAGGAAAGTTGCGATGGGAGGGCACGCGGAGGCCAAGAGAGGAGAGGGAAGGTCTGCTGAAGGGGGAATTGGAAACATATGCAGTGGTCTGACTGCTGGTCTTCCCCCCTCTGCCTCATCCAGACAACCACACACAACAAAGACGGGAGATGGGCCAGAAAGGGTGTGAGGCTGAGTGCGAAGGTGATGATACATGGGCAGTGTTTGGAAGCGGACTGGCAGTTTTTTATGAAAGAAAGATGGCAAACACTAAACAAATGCAGATGACACAATGGACCAAAGTATTGTTTCAAAGTAATAACTGTGGTTTTGCATTGTGTATTGTGATACTTTTGCCAAGTGTGGTATATTTT